GCTAATTTTTTGTATTTTTGGTAGAGACAGGGTTTCACCATGTTGACCAGGATGGTCTCGATCTCTTGACCTCGTGATCCACCTGCCTCGGCCTCCCAAAGTGCTGGGATTACAGGCGTGAGCCACGGCGCCCGGCCTTCATTAATATTTCTAAAAAAATTTTTAAGACAGAGGCTTGCTCTGTCACCAAGGGTGGTGCAGTCTTACCCCACTGCAGCCTCTACCTCCTGGGCTCAGCCACCCGAATAGCTGGGACTGTAGGCATGCACCACCAAGCCTGGCTAATTTTTGTATTTTTTTTTGGTAGAGACAGTTTTGCCACATTTCGCAGTCTGGTCAAGCACTCCTCCTGCCTCAGCCTCCCAAAGTGCTAGGATTATAGGCGTGAGCCACCATTGCTGGCCTATTTCTAAAATTTTGGTCCACATTGGTGTTAGACCAACTGTTTACATTAAGCTTTCCTGGAAAACATGAAGTAAATATTGTTACTGGCCTATGTATTTTTCCCCTATTTAGTATGTTTCTTTGACTAGTTTAATACGATTCCAAGACTTAAAAATATCAGGCTCTAAGGCTGGGCCCTGTAGCTCACACCTGTAATTCCAGCACTGTGGGAGGCCAAGGCTAGTGGATCACTTGAGCCCAGGAGCTTAAGACCAGCTTGAGCAACATAATGAGACCTTGTCTGTATATGAAAATACAAAATTAGCTGGGTACTGTGGTGCATATCTGTAGTCCCAGCTAAAAGGAAGGCTGAGGTGGGAGGATTGCTTGAGCCCAGGAGGCTGAGGCTGCAGTGAGCCATGAGTGTGACACTGTGCTCCAGCCTGGGCGAAGAGAAAGAACCAGGCTCAAAAGTAAAAATAAAAAGTCAGAGGCCAGACGCAGTGGCTCATGCCTGTAACCCCAGCACTTTGGGAAGCTGAGGCAGGCAGATCACTTGAGGTCAGGAGTTCAAGACCAACTTGATTAACATGGTGAAACCCTGTTTCTACTAAAAACACAAAAATTAGCCAGGCATGGTGGTGGGCTCCTGTAATCCCAGCTACGTGGGAGGTTGAGGCAGGAGTATCGCTTGAACCCCAGAGGCAAAGGTGGAGGTTACAGTGAGCCAAGATTGCACAATTGCACTCCAGCCTGGGTGACGGAGTGAGATTTCATCTTAAAAAGAAAAAGTCAGGCTTCCTTTTCTTTTTTTTTTTAGAGACAGAGTCTTGTTCTGTCACCCAGGCTGGAGTGTGCAGTGGCATGATCTCAGCTCACTGCCACCTCTGCCTTCTGAGTTCAAGCAATTCTCCTGCCTCAGCCTCCCAAGTAGCTGAAACTACAGGCATATGCTGCCACGCCCCACTAATTTTTTTTTGTATTTTAGTAGAGATGGCGTTTCACGGTGTTGCCCAGCCTCATCTCAAACTCCTGAGCTCAGGCAATCCACCTGCTTCAGCCTCCCAAAGTGCTAGGATTACAGGTGTGAGCCACCGCACCTGGCTGCTTTCTTTTCTTTCTATTCAAATTGAAATTGAATGAATAATTTGGAAGACATTATCTTCACTTCATATCAGGGATGCTGTCAGTGAAATCTCTTATTTGGCAGTTCACTAGCTACTTATATATTTTATTATTGCTGTTGTTTATAGAGTTCTTAAGATACGATTAAATGCTAGCTGGTTAAGAAATTACTTAGAAATGAAACAGAATTGGCTGTTACTCCAAGTTAATAAGCCACTTGTCAACACGAATCCTACGTGGTACAGAAAAGCTGATCACTCCAGTTTTCTTAGGAACCTTGTTTCCATGCTTATCCTTTTCTCCTTAGTATTCTGAGTACCTCCCTTTCTACCTTACAATTCAGTCTTAACACGCTCTAAATAAAGTCTTTCTTTTGTAACCTGTGAGGTCCCTTCCAGCCTTTGTGCTATTTTTCTTCTTGTTTTTTTGTTGCCTGCTTTCTTGAGTGACAGTTGATTTCCTCACTAAGGCTCTGCCCTCAGATCTTTCTCTGTCTTCATTTCTGTTTTGGCTTTACTAATAAAATTTGTGTCTTTGATGTCTCTATTTCCTTTATGTCTTTACCAACCACTCAGATTTTTTTTTGCATGTGTATCCAGTTCCAGCCTTTCACCCAATGTGAAGCTCCAGCTCTCAGTTACTCAGCCAGCCCTTCAAGACTAGGAGTTCAAAGCCAGAATTGCATTTTCCTTTTCAAAGCAGCTTTCCTCTTGCAGTTTTCCATTTCCGTCAGAATCCTTCTGCTGTGTAACTTTTGCTTCCTCCCTTGTTTCCTAGCACCCAATAGTTGGGAGATAATCTGTCTTCAAAATTTTAAACTACATGTATGTCCAAACCAGTGGCTTTTCCTTTTTATAAAAATTTTCATTAGAAAATTTAAAGATAATATGTGCAAATCATTTTTTAAAAATTCAAGCAGTATTTAAGAGTTTCAGCAAAACATACATTGTCCTTCTACCGTTCTATTTAGTTTTCCTCCCCAAGGGCAATCACTTTTTACCAGTTTTTAAATAAATCCTTCCTGAGATAGTTATGAATATCCAAAAGTGTGTCTGTTGTGTATATCACCTTTTATATTCCCTATCCTTTACATGCATGCATTTTACTCTATAAACTCTTTTCTACCCTACTTTTTCTGTTTGACATATTTTGGAAATGTCAGTTTATTTAGAATTCCCTTTCCTTTTCCCTTTCCCTAGTCTTGCTCTGTTGCTCAGGCTGGAGTGCAGTGGCACCATCTTTAGCTCACTGTAACCTCCGCCTCCTGGGTTCAAGCTATCCTTCTGCCTCAGCCTCCAGAGTAGCTGGGATTACAGGTATGCGCCACCACACCCAGCTAATATTTGTATTTTTAGTAGAGACAGGTTTTCACCATATTGTCCAGGCTGGTCTCTTGGCCTGGCTGGTCTCAAACTCCTGACCTCATGATCCGCCTGCCTCAGCCTCCTAAAGTGCTGGGATTACAGGCATGAGCCACTGTGCCCAGCCTAGAACTTCCTCATTTATTTTAACAGCTGCATAATTTGTAGTAAACTTATTTTTGCAGTGCCTTGTTAAGGGCTGTGTCTTTTTACGATTGTATCTGGTGCTATAGTGTACATCCTTGTGTGTGCATCTTGGTGCACCTATGCTGAGTATTTCTGTAGGATAAATCTGTAAAAGTGGAATCACTAATCAAAGGGTATAATCCATTTTGTTATCTTTATTTTCTTGGATCCTTCTTAGCTTTTTCCATGTTAAAGATATTGACAATTGTCCTCTTACTGAAATTTTTGAATCCGTTGATTCCCCTGACATTATTGCCCTGGCCTCCTGACTGATTCTTCTCTCTCTCTTCTCACGCCATGTTGAGGTCCCCAAGGTCACACCCCGTTTTGATGACTCACCAACATAGATTTGTACTCGTGGCTATGATTTATTGCAGTAAAAGGATATAGAGCAAAACTGCAAAGGGAAAGGCACTTAGGGTGAAGTCCAGGAGAAACAGCACAAGTTTTAAGGTCAGCTCTTGCTAAAGACACAGAGGACATGCTTACATCCTCCAGCAAGAGCTGTGACAACACTTGTGAAATGTTGTCTGCTAGGGAAGCTCATTAGACTCAGCGCCTAGGGTTTTTATTGGAGGCTGGTCACATAAGCACCCTCACACATATCAAAAAATTCTAGTCTCTTAGAAGGAAAGCAGGGTGTTAAAATAGCCATATTATTGGCATAAACAGTTCAGGTGCAGAAATTCCCTTTCATCAATTAGGCTGGTGGGTACCCTTCTAAAACCCCAAGTTCCTAGACACCAGCCAGGGGCCAGCTTTGTAAGGAGGATGGCAGTCAGGCCTGCCACGTTAACTCTTTTCTGCGTACCTCCTGATTTCAGAAACCTCCAAGGCTTTGCTGCCTGACCTTTCCTTTCAGTGTCTTTATTACTTTGATATCTTTACCAGTTATCTCTACCCTGACTTTTAAATATGTGCTCTGGCCATTCACCTAAGGTGTGGTTCTCCTCCAAGTCTTCTCAGCAGATTTGCTCTTAGATGTCTGCCAACACTCCACACCAAGTGTTACAAACTAAACTCATCATCTTCCTTCTGAAACCTGTTTCCCAGTCCAGGCACCGTGGCTCACACCTGTAATCCCAGCACTTTGGGAGGCTGAGGGCAGGTGGATCACCTGAGGTCAGGAGTTCAAGACCAGGCTGGCCAACGTGGTGAAACCCCGTCTCTATTAAAAATAAAAAAATTAGCCAGGCGTGGTGGTACACACTTGTAATCCCAGCTACTCATGAGGCTGAGGCAGGAGAATTACTTGAACCTGGGAGGCGGAGGTTCTAAGACTGTGCCATTATACTCCAGCCTGGGCAACAAAGGTGAAACTCCGTCTTGCTTAAAAAAAAAAAGAAAGAAAGAAAGAAAAAGAAGCCTGTTTCCCTCAGCTTTGTCATTTGTATAGAGGCCCTATGTAGAGAGTCTCCTTAGAAACATCTCTCGGATTTCTCTGCTCTTCCAGGGCCATTGCCACCAACCTGGATCATGTCTGTATCGCTTCACACCCGGCTTATGGCAGCAGTCAGTCACCCAGATGACCTCCTGACCTCTGGCTTATTTCACCCCCAGTGGACTGTTGTTCCTAAACACCTCTTTCATATGTCACTCTAAAACCTGACCCTGGCCCTACCTTTCTTTACTCCCTGACTACTCACTGAGAGCAGATAGGTCTTGTCTTTTCCTGCCCCTATGCTTTTGTAAATGGCCATTTCTACCTGAAGTGGCAACCGAAATCACACCTTCTTTATAAACTGTTTTTGGCCACCTCAGTTAGAATTCCTTATCCATTTTCCTGAGGCATTTATTTGACTCTATTTTACTGCCCCATTTTTTTTTAAGATGTTGAGTTGGTCAAGGCTTGTAGTTAAAGCAACAGAAGTCAACTCTTTAAGCAGAAAGGGAATTTGCCAAATGATAGTGCAAAGTTCTCGGAATCTCTAGCAGGATGAAGAACCAGGCTTGGAGACTAGGTAGCCACAGATACACAAGCATGCTGTAGGACCGTTCCCTTGAAGACGCAGACATCTGTTGTCACCACTGGACACAGATGGTACTGTGTCTCTGCTACTCTACCAATGCCACTGCTGTCTCTGACCCCGGAAGCAGCTCCCTCTGACCCCGGATGCAGCTCCCTCTGACCCGGGATGTAGCTCCCTCTGACCCCGGATGCAGCTCCCTCTGACCCGGGATGTACCTCCCTCTGACCCCGGATGCAGCTACTTCTGGCCCCGGATGTAGCTCCCTCTGACCCTGGATGCAGCTGCCTCTGACCCCGGATGTAGCTCCCTCTGACTCTAGATGCAGCTACCTCTGACCCCGGATGCAGCTCCCTCTGACCCTGGATGCAGCTCCCTCTGACCCGGGATGTAGCTCCCTCTGACCCCGGATGCAGCTACTTCTGGCCCCGGATGTAGCTCCCTCTGACTCTAGATGCAGCTACCTCTGGTCCCGGATGCAGCTGCCTCTGCCCCCAGATGTAGCTCTCTCTGGCCCTGGATATAGCTTCCTCTGACTGTGGATGTAGCTCCCTCTGACCCTGGATGCAGCTGCCTCTGACCCAGATGTAGCTTTTCAAACCCAAATATGGCTGCTGTGCCCCCTTGCCAGAGTGAATACTTCATCATTGTGGCCTCTTCTTGTCGCTGGTTCTTACTTAAAATCTGAGCTGGAAGTTCAGATTGACAGTTTTATCACTTGCTCTTTCCTTGCTGCAGTCTAGATGAGGTCTCATGTTCGTAAGGTAGAGGATTTTCCAGATATGGAAGGGAATTCCAATTTTCAGCTGCCAAGCAGAGTATCACATTTCCACTCTAATCATTTTTCCAGTGTCTGACTCTTAGACTTCTTTCTAGCTGCAGTCTGCCTATTAGAGAACCTTGCATACAGCAGGCGTTTAATAAGTGATCATCAGAAAGGCAAAGCAATATGAATCAGTTAGGATGTTTTGGCATATAACACCAAACCTGAGTATGGCTTAAACTTGTGGTATTTTCTCCAGTGTGATCAGATCTGTATTTTAATTTTTAAAATGTAAATTAGTAATATCTATGAATCACCAAAGTAGCTGGGAGTAGCCTAGAAAACAATGAATGTCCCTCTTTGTTTTCCCAGGAGCCATAAATAGTCGTTTAAATCAGTTGGGTGCAAGGCATTGTGTCCCACTAACATAGTTAAAAACAAAAAGAGTATTACTGAAGTAACATAGGATCTTTTCTGAAGTAGAAAGCATTAACCCGGACAACGAAAGCAGCAAGTGGCCACGATTATCAGCATAGTTGTTTTCTGGTGTCATGGGCCTTCCACACTGCTCCTAGCAATTGCCATGACAACACATGGATAATTGGCTTCCATAATTTCTCATCTTACTGCCTAAGGCAACAGGGAGCTTGTGGCCTCAGCTTGCTGTTCAGCAGCTGCTTTGTTGCCTCTCCTCTGCATGTGTGAGGACTGCCAGAACCCACTTTCCAGATGAGTGAGAGTTCATTCATTCACCGTACAATTACCGATTGTCTCTTAGCCTCTGTCCTCGGGAGGTAAGGTGATGATCCAGTCCTGCCTCATGCAGCTCATAGTCTACGCAAAGCTGCGGGCAGACAAGCAGAATCCAAAGTGCTATAATGAACCCTCTGAGAGGGGCTGACTCAGTCAGCCCAGGGAGCTTGAAAACAGCTCCACAGAGAAGGCTGTGCCTGAAGTCAATTTCAGTTTAGGAGCCACCCATTTATAACCACTTTTCTGTGGCCTGTCCTGTTTTATTTCGTATTTCTTGACAATCCTCGCTACCTTGGATAGGTTTTACCATGCATATGGTAATTTGGGTGAGCTTAGTATGAGGCTTAATGGTGTGTGGGCTGCACATCCTGGTCAGATGCTCCAGATGAAGGAGATGGTTGTGATGCAGGAGAGGCAGCCACATAGCACAGGTCCCCAGCCAGTGGTGGACTGGGAGGACAATGTAGTCATCTCTGGGGAAGGGGAATGACAAGATCTGGCAGTGTGGCAGGTCCCAGACAAAAGGGGTGGGTTCTGGGCAGTGAGAGTACAGGTGGAGACCTGAATACTGGGTGGGGCCGATACTGGTGTCAGAGCCCACACCTACAGACTGGAGTGGTCCAAGGCAGGTAGATTCTGTGTCTTGAAGACCTACAAGCACCCATTCATCCTCATGATCATGCAGTTCTCTAGTTTCTAACAGTGTAGTGGGGGAGTCCAGCAGAGCAGAGCAGGCCCTGGAATCCTGGGTGTGGGGGCGTGGCTTAACTTGGAGCTTCCTTCAGAGGCAGTGAGTGCTTGTCATTGTCTCCATCAGCATTGGCTTTGGGCCTAGTGAGGTCTAGAACCTTCTGTTGGGATCAGCTGTGGAACAGGAGGAAAAGGAGTGAGTAGATGTGGTATTGCAAGAAGTCGTTTTGTTTATTTTACTATTAGAATTATATTAGGCAGAAGTTTTGCTTCATAAACTCTCAGCTATATACAAAATATTGTGAATAGTATTTACCTTGTGTCTCTTTCCAAAGGACTCACAGTAGTTTGCAGCTATTGCAAATAGCCATGTGGTTCCTTTTTATAGCTGTTTGAATAGGTAAGATGACTTGGAAAATGCTGGATTCTGAGCAGATTTATGTGCACTTAAAAAATGTAGTTTTTCTCTATCAATAAGGGGTTTGGGTTGTAATTGCTTAGTGAGTAATTTTGTTTATGTAAACATGTTTATTAAATTTTTTTTCTTAGGTAATCCCCTATGTTGGCACCATTCCTGATCAGTTGGATCCTGGAACTTTGATTGTAATACGCGGGCACGTTCCTGGTGATGCAGACAGGTAAAATCATTGCACTAAAGGAGGGAGCATGAATAAGCTGTCCTTTTGTGATTGTGAAATGGTAACAAAGAGTAATGTGGGAGAGACCATTTGATACTTAGAGGCCTAATTTGCTTTCATCAGCAGCCCTGTCCAAGGTGCTGAGGAGATTGGAATGAATGACTAAATAAAGGTTATTGGGATTTGTTTCATTGCTGTAAGTCTGATTTCAGTACAAAAAAATTAGAAATATCAGCTGGATATGGTGACTTACACATGCATTTCCAGCACTTTGGGAGGCCAAGGCGGGAGTAGTATTTGAGGCCAGGAGTTTGAGACCTGCCTGGGCATCATTGTGAGACCCCCATCTGTAAAAAAAAATTTTATAGACCCCCATCTGTAAAATTTAACTGGGCATAGTGGTGTGTGCCTACAGTCCCAGCTACTTAGGAGGCTGGGGTAGGAGGATCACTTGAGCCCAGGAGTTTGAGGTTGCAGTAAGCTGTGAACGAGCCACTGCACTACAGCCTGGGTGACAAAGAATTAGATATGTCATTAAAAGAAAGGAGGTGTGGTCAGATGACAGGGACTGTCTGGTTGTAGTCTGACATTCCGACGGCATCTCGGAAGAAAGATCTAGTTCAGATGGTTTTACTGAATACTCGCTTTCGATACAAGCTGTGGTGTCATCAGTGTTGGGCTCAGCTCTGTGTAGCTAACACCTGAAGAGCAGTGGTTTAAGTAAGATGTGAAAATTAAGTCTCAAGGAGACAGCCCAGGCCTTTTCAGTCAACTCCTTTAAGTCATTAGAGAAGTAGGCTCCTTCCAGCTCACCACGCTGCTATCTTGAGGGTGAGGTGAGATCCCCTTTCCCGTGACCCTGGGCAGCTAGATTTCCAGCCCTCACATCCGTGCTTTGGGTAGCTGGATGGGTGCATGTATGGTGTTTGTGGGGAAGCAGAGAAGGACAAAAGGCAAGTGCTTGCTGACTTTTAAGGCAGTTTCCAGTAGTCTCCCCTGAGCACTTCGCTTCCCTCTTATCAGCAGAGCTTTAGTTGCACAGGCAGGCCTAGCTGTGAGGGAGGAGGAAAGGTAGGGTTCTTACTCTGGGCAGATTCAGACCCATTTCAAATTCAGGGACTGTGTTACCGAGGAAGACCGAAAAGAAGATTAGGCAGCTAGCTCTTTAGGCCTCATAGTGAATGAACGAGGAGGGATCAGTCAGTCCATTGTCACTGGGCCTGGAGTCTGGGCCTTTCCTGGTGGCTTTTATTTCTGAGCCCCTGCGTCTTCCCTCATATAGATTCCAGGTGGACCTGCAGTATGGCAGCAGCGTGAAACCTCGAGCCGATGTGGCGTTTCATTTCAATCCTCGTTTCAAAAGGGCCGGCTGCATTGTTTGCAATACTTTGATAAATGAAAAATGGGGACGGGAAGAGATCACCTATGACACGCCTTTCAAAAGAGAAAAGTCTTTTGAGATTGTGATTATGGTGCTAAAGGACAAATTCCAGGTATGTTTTGGAGAGGGGCAGGTTGAGCCCTCATTAGTGGGTAGGAGTACACAGGGGCGCTTTTCACATTTGCAAGCCCGCCCTTGTATTTCCTACACCTGAGACATTGTTTGGCTTTGGTAGTTTTTCTCCATAAAAGGACCAGGAAGGCACCTAAATGTGAAGTGTGGCCCCACTACTCCCCAGCCAGTTGTTGCTCTGCAGAAATATGGTCCCCTGTGACCAGATCTTTCTATTAGATCCCGTCTCTCCTAGCGGGGCTAAGTTCTGAATTGACACAGTATTATGTTAACGATGAGAGGGTAAGTTACAGTACAACCGCCACCACCCAAAGAACTAACGGGGGCAATCCCAGTGTAGAAATCAGAAGGGTTTTGTAAATTCAAGTCTTGCCACAAGATAGTTCTGTAGGATCATGAGATTTTAGACCCAGAGGAGATCCTAGAAATCCTTGATGCCAGTTCCATCTCTGGCTTCTTGGAGTGTCTCCTACCCAGCGCATATGTGTAAGGCGAAATTTGGTCCAGAGGCTGTTACACCTGCTAGTTCTGCTAGTGTTTTGGATGCTTTCAGTTATAATTTGGTCAGATGTCTGTGGAGACCTGTGAGAAAGGGTGTAAAATTGGTTGCAAGGAAACATTGAAATTTGGATGATAAGTTAATTTATTAACTGTGTTTTTTTGGGGGGGTGTTCATCTTGTTTCTCTCTAGGTGGCTGTAAATGGAAAACATACTCTGCTTTATGCCCACAGGATTGACCCAGAGAAAATAGACACTCTGGGCATTTATGGCAAAGTGAATATTCACTCAGTTGGTTTTAGCTTCAGCTCGGTGAGTGACCTTCCACAGCTTGCGGTATTTCAGGAGGATGGTTTCTGATGAGATAGTAGAAAAAGTCTTCAAATAACACTTCTATTGAGATAAAAAGGATGTATCTCCCTGCCTGTAGTATAATGGTCTGGGTGTGGATTGCTCACACTGGCAGAAGGCTGTTTATCATCCAGGGCTCGATTGTCTGTAGGACAAACCCCTAGTGTGGGTTTAGCAAAACACACACCGTTTTCAGCCGGGTAGCGGCCATTTCCTTTGCATGGGTGTAAAGTGGAATATTTCTGTAAGAAAGTTTCCTAGGCTGGGAGTGTCTGAGGCAGAGAGTGTCCTTACGTGTTGCATAAGGACAGTTCAGTCAGTGATGAACCACATAGACAACAGTGGTCCCGTAAGGTTGTCACACTGCATTTTCACTGTACCTTTTCTGTGTTTAGATGTGTTGACATGCACAAGTACTTACCATGCTGCTCCGGTTGCCTGCAGTATTCAGTACAGAGCATGCTGTACAAGTTCACTGTCCCGGAGCCGTAGCTCATACCCTACAAGTCTGTAGTAGCTGGTACCATTTAAGTTTGTTAAGTAATATTCTGTGGTGTTCGTAGGATGACATAAACCACCTCAGAGCACACTTCTCAGAATGTACCCCCTTCATTAAGCAACACATGACTGTATGTATTTGCATTCAAAATTTTGATAGATATTGCTAACTCATCCTCCAAAAGGGTGAAAGCAATTTGCACTCTCAACAACCGTGCCCATCTTCTCACCTTCTTGTTGCTGTTACATCTTATTCTCTGTAATGTTTGCCAGTTTGATAGGGAGGTGGGAAGGACCCCAGTGTTAAGTGTATTTTTGGGTCATAGTTTCAAGCATATTTTCAGTACCATTTATAATTTTTTGATATATCAAACAGGTTGTAAATAGAAAATATTTTCTACTGGATGTTATGAATTAATCTTTATTATCTTTTTCAGGATTTACAAAGTACCCAAGCATCTAGTCTGGAACTGACAGAGATAAGTAGAGAAAATGTAAATACTAAATATTTTAATAAGCCACTGGTTTAAAAATGTTCTTTTAACTGCCATGTAAATGAAGTGAAGAGAAGGCTGGGTTTTGAAAACTATGCTTTTAGAATGCAAGCACTCATTTGAAAATTGAGATATAAACTTGTGGTGGCAGGCACTCAATAAGGTTTTGCTGATGCTTCACCTGTCAGTTTATGTAACTGTTACTCACTGCTCTGATGTAAAAAAGAACTCTCTCAACTGCTGAATGGTACTGCTTTGGGGTATTTCTGAATACTGAACATCAGCCAGGGCTCTCACAAGTGAACTTCCACATGTATCTCCAACCCCTGGGAGAATAAGTGCAATTTAAAAATGAGCTGTTCCAGGCATGGTGGCTCATGCCTGTAATCCCAGCACTTTGGGAGGCTGAGGCGGGCAGATTTTGAGGTCAGGAGATTGAGGTCATCTTGGCTAACATGGTGAGACCCTGTCTCTAATAAAAATACAAAAACTTAGCTGGGCATGGTGGTGTACGCCTGTAGTTCCAGCTACTCGGGAGGCTGAGGCTGGAGAATTGCTTGAACCCGGGAGGCAGAGATTGCACTGAGCTGAGATCACGTTATTGCACTCCAGCCTGGGCGACAGAGAGAGACTCTGTCTCAAAAAAAAAGAGCTGTTCTTAATGGAGAAAGTGAGGTCTTAGCGACTGGCACATTCACACCTCACAGAGAGAAGAGAATCTCAGCATTCTGGGGTACCCTGGAAAGGACAACTAAGACATGTTTGAAGTTCATGTAGTCCTGGGTGAACGAGGTGGCTTGGGCCTGGAATCCCAGCACTTTGAGAAGCTGAGGTGGGAGGATTGCTTGAGCCTGGGAGTTTGAGATTAGCCTGGGCAACATAGGGAGACCCCCATCTCTACTAAAAATTTAAAAATTAGCCAGGCATTGTGGCACATGCCTGTGATCCCAGCTATGGGAGGCTGAGGTAGGAGGATCACTTGAGCCCAGGAGGTCAAGGCTGCAGTGAGCCATGACTGAGCCACTGCACCCCAGTGTCAGTGACAGAGTAAGACCCTGTCTCTTTAAAAAGAAGTTCATATAGTTCTATGAAAAAATATTAATTTATGGTGAACGATAAAAGGCTCGGATGAACAGGGATATCAGACTCTATTCTCACCCAGTGTAGCCCTTCACAACTCCATACCGTCCCATCGTAAAGTACCAGCTGCCTGGAGGTCACACCAGAGTGGGGCAAGAAAGAATGTCCCAGGCTCCGGCCGGGATCAGCTCAGCACGACCAAGTCTTCATATTAGAAACTATCATTCTTCCCCTTCTAATGTTCTTGTGTTTCTTTCTTTTCCAATAGGTACCAGGGTCTGGCACGCCCCAGTATGTGAGTATTTTTGCCTGGGTTGTTTCATATGGAACATTTTATTAAATTGCATAGAAAATGAACAGTTTAAACCTTGGAAGCAGCTTCATTCATTCCATTCCTTATGGTAGAACTGTTTCCCTACAGCCTAGTAATAGAGAAGGAGACATTTCTAAAATTGCACCCAGAACTGTCTACACCAAGAGCAAAGATTCGACTGTCAATCACACTTTGACTTGCACCAAAATACCACCTATGAACCGTTTGTCAAAGGTTTGAAGTGCCCCACATTTTCTTAACTCTGTATAAAACTTCAGTTGTAATGAGCTGTTCCTACCCACAGTAGAAGCCCAAAGCAGCCCCTCTGCATCTGTGTGCTGTCCCTGGACAGATTTGAGAGTGAACCAGGCATGCCTCTGAGCCATTCCTGTGTATTTCCTCCATGCTGCCCAGCCTGGCTGCTTCCCCTTCAAGCGGAACAAGTGCTGCCTCAGACCCCAGGCACAGGGGCCTTCCTGGGGTGTTCCACTCATACAGAGGGCATCGGGTCCCACCCTGTCACTCATTTCATCGTCTAAAATGTAGTCAGTGAGTATTTGCTGTGAGCCAGGCATGGTGCTGCTGCAGGGGACCCAACTGGGACCAAGGCACACTGTCTCTCCCCTCATGGGATTTACATGGTCATGCCTCTTAAACACTGTCTGGTGTTCTCTGGACATGAGTTTTCCCCGGAGATCCCTATCTGCAGGCCTCTTGGTCCTGAGCGTGCCTTCTTTTCAGAGCCTGCCATTCACCGCAAGGTTGAACACCCCCATGGGCCCTGGAAGAACTGTCGTCGTTAAAGGAGAAGTGAATACCAACGCCAGAGGGTCAGTATCCTTGGCTTACAAGGGACAGCGCAAGTAATTTCACCCAGTAACAGTCCTGTGAGCTAGAAGCAGGGCTAGTGTCAGAACCTTCATTTCCAAGGTGAGATGATTCAAGCAGGAGGAGGTTAGACTGCTAACAGCTAGTTGGCGGCAGAGCCAAGACTGAAGCCCAGTGTTCTGACCTTGGCTTTTTTGGCCATACAAGAGAGGAAAATTTTTGTCCACGAGGCCCACCCCTGTCTTGTAGAACTCCAGGCAGCCCCATAAGATCAGGGAACATTTTTTGTTGTTGTTGTTTGAAATGGAGTATCTTACTCTGTCACCCAGGCTGGAGTGCAGTCGCACAATCCTGGCTCACTGCAACCTCCGCCTCCTGGGTGTACAAGTGATTCTCCTGTCTCAGCCTCTGGATTAGCTGGAATTACAGGCACGCCACCACACCCAGCTAATTTCTGAATATTTATTTGTATTTTTAGTAGAGATGGGGTTTCACCGTGTTGGCCAGGCTGGTCTTGAACTCCTGACCTCAAGTGATCTGCCCACCTTGGCCTCCCAAAGTGCTGGGATTACAGGAGTGAGCCACCGTGCCCAGCCCAGACATTTTTGGGGGCCCCTCTTGTCATGTGATTCAGAAAATTTCTGTTTTAAGAACTTTGTCCAGTGATGTCCAGACTTCTGAAACCTTGAAATTAGAGCTATTTCCTAGGAAGTGTCATACTTCCAAGAAGGAAGGAACACGTGTAAATGATGGACAGAGAATACCTGCCTGGAAGGATCCCAGGCTCCTGCAGCCTGAAGCCGTCATCCGGGTTAACTAGTGTTAAGCCTTCAGTTTCTGTCCAACCACATCTCAGCCTCAATGCTGATTTTAAAGGTTTTTTTTTACATTTTTATTTTGCAAGTAATGAATTAGTGGAATGTTGAGTTTAAAATTTTATCTTCATCTGCGTTCCCATGTCCTTGTGGATACATATGTTTCATAGAGTTAGAATCATAGTTCAAGTGTGGTCATTAACTCTGCTGAAACTGCCACCACTCTGTCCCTACTTGGTTAATTAAAGTGTTTTTTTTTTTTTTTCTTTCTCAAAAGCTTTAATGTTGACCTACTAGCAGGAAAATCAAAGGATATTGCTCTACACTTGAACCCACGCCTGAATATTAAAGCATTTGTAAGAAATTCTTTTCTTCAGGAGTCCTGGGGAGAAGAAGAGAGAAATACAACCAGTTTCCCATTTAGTCCTGGGATGTACTTTGAGGTGAGGTTATAGTTTTTTGAAAATGGGACAGGAACAAGAATCCAGGGAGCAGGGGTAGGATAAGTCGTCCTTTAAATCAAGTCCTAACTCAATGTGTGGAGGTTGTGTATGTTTTTGTTTACTTGGAGATTGTAACGTGCTCCCTTTGATAATGTGATCAATGGGTGTAAAATGGCAAAGCCAGCAGAGCGTCACATTATAGGCATTGAAATTGACATCTGTCACCGTGTTAAAATTCCCGTGTAGTCCCATATTGATAATAGGGATTTAACCAGGGACCTTGTCTCAGGAGTGGAGTCACATATTTAATTGTATAAGTGGACATGAGGACATGAAGGCATCATCTCCCATCACAGCAGATGGTTTCAGGTGGCAGTCCTTTCTCTAAGGAGTTAGTCCTGTTTGTATGTATTCAAGGAAAAATGCATCAGTCCCTTGGAACTAAAAGGCATGTAGTCCTGAGTCCCCAGATAGGTAAATATTGTAACACATACCTTTCCCAAAATATGATTCTGGGATGCTGAGCAGAGAATAGCCTCCTTGTGATGTGCATACTGGATGGTTGGCCAGCCTCACTCACTAGCTCAGGTGCCACTGCCTCACACAGTCACTTAGGGTCACTGGTAGGTTGTAATTCTATAGCATTTCAAACTGCCAATCCTCTGGACCATTTGGGTTCTTAAGGACTCATCAAAACCCATCACTAATCGCATGAATATCAGGTGGAATAGATGGCAATGTGACATGCATATTTATTCCTAAGTTCCAGTCCGATGCAGTGCCCTGGTATGTGGAGTGTAGACAGATGTGGGCTAAGCATGGAAGGTTCTCTGGAAGTTGCGGATATTGGTTTGGAATTCAGAAAGCTGGGAAGGAGTGGAGGACTAACGGTTGGCTTTTCTAGATTTAGGGCATGATGTGAACAAGTCCTTAGAGGCGGGAAGGGCAGCACGAGGGTGTTGGCTTGGCAAGATTAAGGCATAAAGGGTGACTTGGGGTTCACTGGAGGGAAATAGAGGGGAGTGTTCCAGAAAGAAGTTGAGCCCTGTGGTTGGTGACAGGAAACTAACGATGCAGCTTGTTTTCGACGTATCTGGGACCCAAGTTTGGATCTACCAATTAATATAAAAAAGGACAATAATGATACATTCAAGTCATGCTGAAAAAAACTAAGATGAAAATATCTCCAACTTCGTAATTCAAATCATTCCATTAGGATTCGATGAAGCACATTCCAGATATTCTTTTGTAGAGACACAGTGAAAAGGACGGCTGGCTGAAGGAATGAATCGATGGATATTGTATGCTTCCGAACAATGTCTCTTCCGTTTGTTAATTTTCTACTTCACCAACGGTCATTATCCTCATGTTGATCACTGTTGACGATGTTCTATACTGACAGGTCCTTTCCAGGGGCTTCCATCTCTTGCTTTTCCAACATGCTTGCACTGAGACTATCTCAGGTCTTCCCATTATGCCATTACTTTCATTTAAATCTTCTTGCTGTTCAAACATACTTTAGTTGTATCTACAGTGTTGTTTTAAAAAATCTCATTCGTTGTTGTCATTTCATCTGTGGGCTCTTCTTCTGGATGAACTCCATGTTCTCCCCAGCTGTTCGACAGCATCAGATAGTTGTGAGGGATTGTTTTCTGTTTTCCTCTAGGCTGGGGGTCTTGCAAATGATGTGCTTTCTTTTCATTTGCAGTAGTCCGCTCACCCAGAGGCATGTCATTTCCTTGCCACTTGGTTGTAAGTCATTGGCTCTGCACTTGCTCTGATATAGTCCAGGCTTCGACTCCCTCTGCTGCCAACTTGGTTTTCCTTCTGAGCTACAGCATGAGGCTGTGTGTTTTGTGTTTTCCTGAGATTTTGTGAAATATTTCCAAGTCCCTTCTACCTGGTTAGAACTGGGATCCCCACCATTCTTGTGGGGATAGAATCTCGGGTTACACATACTTCCCCAGTCCTCTGTAGCCATAGAAGTTTCATTTTGGCCAGCTCTGTTATCAGAGTGCAGGACTCAGCTGAAATTTCCTCCTCTTCCTCTTTTCCTCGACAGCCCTTTTCACTGCTCCTATCAAAAGAATGAAGACCTCAACTTGCTGCTTTGCAGATTCAGGTTTTATGCTCCAGTCTGGCCTCTGGAGTGGGGCCAGGTTGGCAGCAAGGTTGAGCTTCCCCTCTTCTGAAGCCTTCATGGGGGCGAGGAGCACAGGGAGAGCTCCGTGCAGGACCTCCCAGTGTCGTCCTCAGTGTGGGTGGAAACCCAGCCTGGCACTGGCAGCGTGTACCAGAAGTATGAGGTTTAGGTATAAAGATGATGTAAAAGGCTAGTAGGTTTTCTGGGTTTTCATTGTTTGAGTTTGGGGCACAGACGACTGTCAAGGGCAAAGACTAGTGATGAATTTGAACGGACTCTGCCAGGATGTGCATCCCTGCTGACTCAGGGTACCCGGCTTTGAGGACTTTGGAGAAACACACTGAGGCCAAGATGTGCTGAGCTGGGATGGAATCAGGGTCACCAAGCAGCTGTAAAAACCGTAGCAGCAAGTGCCTTAAGCTGCTGAAATTTCATATTAATTGTCTGGTTTGTTCATGGTCCTAGAGTTTGAGGCAGAAAAGTCAGGATCCAAGTCCCTTGGTTCCAGTCTACTAGCTGGAATCAGCATCTTAGTGAACTAGAGTGACAGTGTAAGTTTTCCCACTTTAGGAGAGTCCCCAGCATCAGTGAGGAGGGGTAGCACTCCACCTTTCCAGGAGCGAGGGGCAGGATATCCTGGCCCAGAAGCGGGGCCTGTCCTGAGGAAAGGAGGGCCACAGGCCCTGGGGACGTGTGAGGCTCCAAACATGTCCGAGTAACTTCCCTGGGTGGGATGAGGCAGACAGTGCCACCACCAGGGATACTTTAGTGAGATTAGGGTCTTGGGAGTCAGAGAAGGGAAGTCAGCAGCAGCAGGCTAGAACTTTTCTATATATAAAGCAAATCACATCGTTTACTCTGACACCCTATTAGTGTGCAGCAAACATTTTTAAACTAAGGGGAACCAGTAATGGCTTGTTTCCTTTCCTTTCAGATGATAATTTATTGTGATGTTAAAGAATTCAAGGTTGCAGTAAATGGTGTACACAGCCTGGAGTACAAACACAGATTTAAAGAGCTTAGCAGTATTGACACGCTGGAGATTAATGGAGACATCCACTTGCTGGAAGTAAGGAGCTGGTAGCCTACCTACGCGAAACACAGAATGCTACAGAAACCGAAGTACAGAATGGCTTCTGTGATACTGGCCTTGTCGAAACGCATCTCACTGTCACTCTATTGTTTATATTGTTAAAATGAGCTTGTGTACCGTTAGGTCCTGCTGGGTGTTCTCAGTCCTTGCTATGAAGTATGGCAGTGTCTTGCACCGAATGGGGAGATTGGGGGCAGTAGCATTTACAGCCAGTTAAAGCCACTCTGCCCTCTCTCCTACTTTGACTCTAAGAATCACATTCACCAGGTATTTATGGAGTACCTACCATGATACAGTAGCTAACATGTATTGAGCACAGATTTATTGGTTAAAACTGCGCAAGGAGATGGGATATACAATTGGTGGTGAAACAAACCAGTGTGTTCCCTGTTGTCTTGGGCTTCGACTCTTCTGTGCTTTACCGCTGTGCACTGCTTCTACAGGCATTGCATCAACTCCCAAGGGGCCCTCTGGGATTAGAGATGCAGCTGTTAAATCACCTGAAGACACTAATTTATAGAAGACGCTACCCCTTCCCCAGTGATCGCTCATAACCAGTGCTCCAGCATATCCCATAACTGAGAGGACTGATGTTGACTGACAGTTCATTTTCTTTAGCATAATAAACATAGAGCTCTATTAGCTGCAAGCTTTACCAAATAATAACATGACATCTGAACACGGCACAGAAATTAAGGCAAAAAAAAAAAAAAAAAAAAAAAAACCAAAGTAAAACTAAACAAAAAAAAGGTGCTGAAATTAACCACTGATGTCAAGCCCAAGGCAGCTGATTTCTGTGTGTCTGAACTTAGGGTGAGTCAGAGTCTACACAGACTCCTACAGAAAGTTTAAGGAAGAGGCAAGATGCATTGAATTTGAAAGATATTCATGGGTAGTAAAGTAAGGTCAGGATTAGACTTCAGGATTAGACAAGGCAGGCACTATCGAAAGTGTACACCAACTAGGAGACCCACAAAGCAGGCAGAGGTAATACAGAAATCAGTTTTGCTCCCATGCAGATCACCACTCAGGGCCTCCATTCTTCTAAAGATGAGTCCACCATTAGCACCTGAGATCAAAGCACTCTTCTGTGTTAAGTGATTAAAGTCAAACCTGTATCAAGTTAAATTGTTGCATTTCTGTAATTTTTCTATTATTTGAGGGGAGTTGGCAGAAGTTTCATGTATATGGGATCTTTACAGGTCAGATTTTGTGACAGGCAATTTCAAAGGTTTGGAAGTGGGGAGGGAAAAAAGTGAGGATCATTTTATCACATTAAACTGTGGGGCAGAACTCTGCCAGGACTTAGGAATCTTTTCAGAACAGATTTTACTTAGATATTATTTCTGTCCAAATATTGACAAGAATACCATTATCAATCTTATTTTTAAAAAAGTACTCAGTGTAGAAAATGCTAGCCCTTAATTCTTTTCCAGCTTTTCATGTTATTTATGCAGAGTCTCACCAAGCTCAGAGACACTGGTTGGGGGTGGACGGTGCCACAGGAAAAGGTGTAGAGGGCAAGAAGTCTCCAGAATCCCCAAGAGTTCTTTTTCTTCATAAAGAACATCAGCGTGCTTAACTGAGCTGCTGGAGACTGTGGGGCACTGAGGAAAAAAGTAGCTTACATCATTCCTTGTAAGTCTTAAGTTCATTTTTATTTTATGTGGAGTAAAAAAAAATTTTTAAAGTGCTATTTATTAACACATTTTAATGAGACATTTCTTAGAAATATGCATTGCTATACTAGAAAGCTCTATCCCTAAACTGTAAGTTAACCTTTGGCTTGTCACAATTCTGCATTAAACTTCTATATTAGTTCCAAAGGCTTTTAAACTCAATGCAAACATTCTACGGGATTGTTCTTAGATGCCTTTAAAAAAGGGAAAGATCTAATTATATCTGAGCCCTCACTTTCCAACTTTACCAAGACCCAGTACTAGAGATTAGGGCACTCCAAAGCACTGCAAAAAATCTAGTGATACTTATTTTCTTAGACAAGTAATTCTTAGTTAACCAGCAATGGAACTGGGACCAATCTTAATCCTGGAGGAGCTTCCTCGTGCCACCTAGTTTCTGGGCCCTCTGTCTGTGTGAGCAGCCAGGAGTGAGCTGTTTTGGAAGCAGCATCTTGCCTCCATCTCTCCCGTTTCCTCAAAGAGTAAAAGATAAAGGTGACAGTCACACTCCTGGGTTAAAAAGCATTCCAAAACCACTTCTCCATAGGCACACACAAAGAAATGAAGGCTGAAGTTCGCCTACCCAAAATGAAAAGTAGGCCTTACAGTGAAAAGTGTTTGTTGATTGCTAAATTATTGTCATTTTCTGGAAGGAGAGAGCAACTCTTGAGTGAAATCTGCAACACAGATACCATGTATATTAGACACCGCTATACAGGAGAGTTCAGGCTTACAGTGCAGATGAGGCATCAGCTTTGCGTACTAAAAGTAAACAGGTCTAATACTAACATCAATCAGGAAGAGAATAAATGTTAAACACAGCAGTCTGTATAAAAAGACCGTGTATCGTTTACTCTTTCTGCAGCTCTGTACAATTGGCAGGAGAGGCTTATGTGGTAGCACAAACCAGGTGGGAATTTTGTAAAGATACAATAAAATATTTGTAAGTAGTCCAAGTAGGTGTATTAAGGCACCAAAAGTAATAGGGCGCCCAACACCCAAAAATAAAAATATAAAAAATAAATCTGAACTCTGAGTATGAAACACCACAGTCTTAGAAGTAGCTCTGGAGCGGCTCCCCCAGCACAGTTTCCAGCTGTTGAATAGTCTTTTGGCACTGATGTTCTACTTCTTCACATTCATCTAAAAAAAAAATCAAAATTAAAATTGGTGTCAGTTCACCTGCCTCATTTCTCATTAGTTTAATTCTTAATGTCTGGCATTCTCTGGCAGTCATTCAAACAGAGCGAGATGAGGCATATTAACAAAGCAGGAAGCACCGCAGACCACCTCCCTCTACACCGTTCCTTCCGCCTTCATTCCATGCTCAGAGGCTTGCACTGGAAGCTGAATAAGAACCCCGAAAACTCAAACTTCCCAGGGATACCACCCCTTTAGTAGCTCACACGTCCCCCCTCCAAGAGCTAAGAAACAAAGGAGAATGCACCTTTTTGGCTTCGCTAAGCGATGAATCAGTAACGCACTGATCTACTTGCTCTACCACCCCTCCCATGTTCTTTCCTGGGCCTAAGACTGTTCCAGAACTGTCATAGCTCCCCATGTCACACTCGCTAGCTTGTTACCTTTGTCAAATCATTGAAACCTTTTAGGCCTCTAGTTTCTTCCTTTGTAAAACAGAGACAAAATGTTGTGATTTTGAAGTGAAATAATCCATGTAAAGCACCTAACATGGAGTAGTGAATGAATGTTGGTTGTTACTAGAAGTGGACATCCTACTGCACCCTTAATGCCACTAGGCATTTCCATACAATAACCTCCCATTTGGGGACCAAAACTTCAATCATATAAATGTATGAAGTTAATTTAAAACACTATTGTAATCTGCTTGTATGATCACAAAACACCACAAAAGTAAAGACAGTGAAGATTACACTGCAAACAGACAGACTCAAGTGATCACGAGGTGGTCACTTCTCAACTCACTTCCTCCACCCAACTCAAAACAGGAGCTCGAGCCTGCCTGTTTTTGAGAACGGAGCTGTCTGTAGCAGGGTAGGAGCAACTGCTAGTCACGTTATATCCAAATCTGCTTTATCATTGGGCACATTTCACAGAGATTTATTCCTTAATTGTTTAATAGTTTGGGAATTACCTTCCATCAGTTCTGCTAAGAAAGGAATGGATTCTGGCAGCAGGACAATGTAATTCTCCTTTAGTTTTTCAGCCAGTGCTAACACAGTAATCAAAGCAGCAAATCGAACCTGAAAGGGATGAAAGAGTAAAGAATGAGAAAGTAGTGTTAGTGCATTTATTATTCTAAGGGCTGTACTGACTCGAGATAAGCTCTAAGTTTTCAAACTAATCGTTAGTTCACATGCGTTTATTCCCTTCATTATGTTCATTCACCTTTCATCTTAGGATACCAGTTTATTTAAATCAGTGTTTTCCAAACTGTGTCCCACCACTGCAGATCTTTAATGTGAAATGTCTTTTTATAACCTTTTCCTTTAGAATAAAATAAAACAAAACAATAAAATACCACATGCAAACTCAAGTGTGTCACCAAATTTTACTTCACTGGAGCACGCCAGCCCTCCAAACTGACAATAAAGTACCTCCAGCCACCTCTGGCAGGTCTCCCTACCCCACAGCCCCTGACTGGTCACCACTATAGCTGTATGAGGGGCCAGGACACTCGCTTGGGGTAAGCTCCCATCTCAGCACTGAATAAAACACATTCTATGTCACAATATCCTAGTTTTGGGGCATTAAAGAAGGTGGTGTTTCTCACATGCCTTGTCTGTGATGAGGACAGCAAGCAGTAGCTGGGTATTGTTAGCTTTTGAAACAAAAGCCCGACTGGTCTTCTTTCTAATTTTGGATATTTTCATTAAAGACTGGCTGGATAGTACAAAGTCGATTATTCAAAAACCATTTGTCACTACCTAGATTCAATCAGGATTTCCTTGATTTGTGCAATCAAAGTGAAATATTACAATAAATTTGATGCTGCTACTTGTATAAAAACCTATGGTTTAAAATGTGGGGGTTCATCAAAATAGTCTCATTGTTAGCATATCCTAATAAAGACTTTGAACTAATAAATCCTATTAATGAAATTCTGCCTTGGTCTGTTATATCCAGTAAGGTTCTGATATAATCATTAGTTTGAGAAATGGCAAATCATTGCTAAAACAGTTTGAAATTTGTGACAGCTGGGTGTGGACTTTCGATTTCCACTCGACCTACCCATGTTTCATTTCTGCTGCCACCACTAATGCAACAAGATCACAGGTCTCGTATTTACAAACGAGAATATATTGCTCTAACTCAAAAGACTATTATTCTGTGGACAAATTCAATGCATTTATCTCTGGAGCACAATGACATTTCAATGGCACTTTAAACACAAGGAATTACTTCAAATCATTGTTACTTAAAGTATTTAGAAGGTATTTTAGTACTTGTATCCAAGCACCATTGGGGTGGGGATAGGGCACTGCTATTCTTTACAAATAGCCTCTAAGTAAAATCCAAAATTTTATCAGGCTCAAACTTCTGCCTGATACAAAAGACTGGACCTCTAGTACTGGATGACAAATAGCAATGCTCTTCCCTGCCAGTTTACCAGGGGCCTACATCTGTGACCACCTGCAGGCTGTTTAGGCTACGCAATGAAAACGCGCAGTTTCCATACTTGTGACCCAGTTCCTAACCTTAGGCGAGGAGTCTCTCGTCTTTAGCAGAATCTGGTAGTTCAGTGGTTTCCAAAGAGAGTCATCCGCCATGGCCACTGAAAACTGTGCGATGCAAGGGATCAGGTGCTTTGTCATCCGTTCCTGGAATTTCTCTTCTCCCCCAAGCCTGTTTTCCAGCTATGAAGAATAAGACAAAGACTTTGAACAGGTCTCATTTTTTTTTCTTCTGTTTGAAAAAATACCCAACATATAAGTATTTTACTATCTTTCATGGTATTAGCAGATTCAAAAACCAGGCATTATTCTAATACTTTCTAGGGCAAATTTATTGCCTTCTGGAACTCAAATGGAATCTCATGCCCTTGGCCATCGCCCCTTTCTCCAGCAGAACATCTTGGAGGGTTTCTTTCCTCCAGAGGGCAGCCATGCTCTGAGGCGTTCTCAATGAGGCCCAGTTAAAACAAATTAAGTTAACCATGACACCTTATATCATGTCTTTCTTTTGAGCAGTTAAAAAACAAAAGAAAACAAAAAACAACAACTCGAGATCAGGCATGGTGGCTCATGCCTGTAACCCCAGCACTTTGGGAGGCTAAGGTGGGCGGATCACTTGAGGTCAGGAGCTCGAGACCAGCCTGGCTGACACGGCAAAACCCCATCCCTACTAAAAATGCAAAAAATTGCCACGTGTGGAGGTAGGCACCTGTAATCCCAGCTATTTGGGAGGCTGAGGCACAAGAACTGCTTGAACCTGGGAGGTGGAGGTTGCAGTGAGCGGAGATTGCGCCACTGTACTCCAGCCTGGGCAACAGAGCAAGGCCCTGTCTCAAAAAAAACAAAACAAAAAAAACTCAAATTCCACAATGAAGTTGTATCTTTGAAAAAACAATTTTTAAATAAAAAATTTCATTTAAAAGAGCAAACAATAAAAAAACCTTATAAAGAAAAAAGCCTAGCAAGCTGTCATTTGAGCAGATATAAAGCCTGCCAAGATCGAACAGTGATGGCTTCCTCAGTAATAAAAGATGAGTCTGTTTGGTTACCTGATCCACCAGAGGCATCATCAAGGCTTCTGCTCTCTCTTTGCTTATAAAATGCTGGGTATCAAAAAGGAAGATTTTGTATAAACAGTTCAAGATAAACCGCAACAGCAAGCAGCACTTTTCAGGGTCATTTTCAGAGTCAAAAAATGCTTCATCTGTAGAGGGAAGAGCAAAACGAAAAACACTGAATTTATTTAATCTCCAATGTCTACACTGAAATCACTATTACAATAACTGTAATCACAAGAGTCTAAATAATCTAGAAATCCTAATGAGGATGAAGGCAGAACCCGAAATGGATGGCCTCTGGAAAAATGATTCCTTGTTTTAGAGCTAAAATTCTAACACTCAGTTTGGCAAGTTAAATAGGAATTTAACCCAAAGTCAAGTGGGTCATGTATTAGCAGTAGAGAATAATCCTGATTTTTAGGTTTTAAAGTCACTCCCAGTAACTGACAGTAATGCCCATTTACTTTATTCTTTCTCCCGAGTGAGTCGACTTATAACATTTCTTCATCATGCTAAAATAACACTTCACTGTCTGACGACAATGAAGTATAAATTCGCCCTCCCTGCTTAGAGCGTAAGAACCTTTACAATCTTGTCCCTGAGCGCTAGGTTGTATCTTACTGGTATCTCGTATAAGGTTCACAGAGCAAAAAGTGACAACGGAACTGAAGCAACTACCCACCTGTTTTGGAGATGTTCACCTGGTTCAAGGTGTCGGCAAAAGGCTTCACTAAGTGGCCGGCAAACAGAGTAAAAAGCCCTTTCAGCTTTTCAGCAATGCAATCTGCCAAGTTGTAAAATGTCAGCAGCCTGTCCTTTGGGGCATCTTCAGTTTTAGCCCAATCAAAGAGCTAAAAGGGTAAGATAGTAATGTTAGTTTCTTCGACATCTTGTCACTGAAACCTGAGCACAAAAGAGAGGAAGAGTAAGAAAGCCTCACCTTGAAGAACAGGGGTCTGAATGTGACCTCGGAAAGTTTCACAACCATGGCCACTAGACAGTCGATGATACAATTTTCTGTTTTTCCAATTTCCTCCAGATCGTCCTGAAAACCCAAGAGTCCATTTATTAGAGTACTGCTATCTAACTGTAAATTATTTTGGCAAGTACAGCTGTTACACAGCTAGAGAATTCTCGGACTCTTAAATAGGTAGATAACAACTCTAGGATTTGGAGGACCGAACCTAAGCTCACCTCAGAGTGCTGTGCTCGGAAGTCCAGGGCCTCCAGGAAAAATGTGGTTAGCTGAGACTGATGGGAGGTGAGCTCTTCCTTCTTCATCACCCCAATATGCTCTTGCAAGATGCTCATAAACGGACCCATGTGATTCTACCAGTAACACAGTAAAGAGATGTGCCATTTTCAAATTATTCCTAGAGTTCAGTAATGTGTATTTTAAAAAATTAAATAACCATATTTTTCTTTAAGTGAAAGTTTACACATTTCAGTACCACCTCTCCCTTCTCCAAAGTCTTAATACTCAGTATGAATCTAACCTTCCAGCTCTTCTCAATCTGCTTGTAAGTTTTTTTGGCGGCGGGCAATAGGACTCGGGGTGCAAGTGTGGTAGCCAGTGTCTTTTTAAGGGACGTGAGACGGATATTGGCCTGTGAGGCGGAACCCATTTCACTAGTAATTTTCTCCAAATGAATCACCTGCAGGAATATAAAAAACAGTGATCAGGGCCATTGCAGATCCTCACTGACAAACACACACTTACAGAAAGGCTTCCTAATGACATGCTAGTGTCTGGGAAATGCTTAGCACCTTTTAACTACAAACGGAATTCTTCTAAAGTCAACCCTAAACATCAGTGGATAAAACTGGGCAGATACCTCTTGCCCAACTTGCAATCAGGGACGAAGTCCAATGGCAGATGCAGAAGCACCCAGAGAGATGATTTTCTTGGAGGACAGGAATGCAAGGGACCACGGCAAAAGTCAAGTTCTTCCTTGCAAAAAAACCGAGACAGCTCCTCAGAGCACAGGCTTCTATCTGTGACGAGGCTACTTTGAAGCCCTGGCTGTGGCATTTGTGAACCGGTTTAATCATCTGCCCATTGTAGTGAAGGTTCCTAACCTTGTAAATGGCAAATGATCAACACAATGAAACTGCCAGGGCTCAACATTCTTGAACATTTTCAATCAGAAACACCACTGGCCCCTAGCGTGTTGACAGGAAATTGCTGACCTGCAGTACAAAAATTCTGCCTTGCAAGATGCCTTAGGATTAAACCTCTCACATTAGAAACAAGGGCACATTCATTTCCACAAGTAATAAAAGGCAGCTCTACCAGCCCAACTCCAAAAATCTCACAGAAGAAAAAAAAATCCAGAATACATTCTGCACAACTAAAGAAGAGAAGCACCTCACTAAAAAGTGACCCCATATTGATTTCAAGATTAAGTGGCAAGGATGATGGAAGAGAAAAAGTACACATTTAATAAAAGCAAGCACATCTTTTCAGAAATAAGACTCCTTTCTGTCGAACACAAGCTAATACTTAAAAAACAAAATCACTGAATTCATTATCTTTGACTTTCCCCAGTCACCCCACGTAGCATGTCGTGGTCACCATGGCTCACCTGGGAGAGAATACCTTCCAGGTAGGGGCTGATGAAGTGTGGGAGAGTCTCTACCACCTTCTGCAGGGCAGCCAAGGCGCTGAGCAGATAGACCTCGCTGGAGACCAGGTCACTGGTGTTCTTCATTGTCGTCAGCAACGATGGCATCAGGCTAGAAATAGAGTAAGAGCTAAACCAGAGGAACTTCCAGCAGAAACGGAGACTAGGGAATGGAGTAGAGAGCATTAGGAAAAAAACAACCAACTATGCTTATCACATCGCTACGTGCCTCATGGCCTAAAAAGCGCTGTCTACACATTTCCTGTGACTAAGCACAAGAAATCTCCCGGTGCCAACAGTGGGGACACAACAGTAATTTAAAAAATAACAATGTCTTTCATTAATTAACACTTACTATGCGTCAGGCACTATACAAAACTCCTTGCAAGCACTGTCCTACAGTCCTTTGAGGTGGACACTATCTCTCTTTTACAGGCAGCAAAGCTCTAACAGGTTAAGGAACCTACTGGCTGCATGGTAAGGAACTACCACAGCCAGGAGCTTCTAACTTCCATATATGGCAGCAGAAGGCAGCTTTGGCCTTGTCCACCTGGATGGGCCCCTCTACCAAGGACCTTCACCCATTGCTTTTTGACTGTACTAGACAAAAGGAAGAATGGGGGACAATTAACATCACAAAGCAGTGCATCTGAAGATAAATAGGAAGGCTGTGTCTTTCCATCCAAAGATTTTTTTTTTTTAAGAGACAGGGTCTCACTGTCACCCAGATACAGTGCAGCAGTGCAATGATAGCTCACTGCAGCCTTGAACTCCTGAGCTCAAACGATTCCCCTCCCTTGGCCTCCCAAAGTTCTGGGATCACAGCCGTAAGCCACCACACCCTGCAAGATCAACTCTTTAACAAATCCAATTTTACGCAACTTCTACTCAGAGGAAAAAGAAAAAAGACCCTAAGAGGTTATTTTTCAATGTGTTCAGATGGTAACAGCTCCTGTTCCAAGTCTCCAGCCGCATACCTGGGAAGCTGAGGGATGGCCAGTGCTTCCAGGGTGGAGGCCACCTCGGCTACGCACAGCAGTGCACTTCCCAAGACATTCTTCTCTTCCTTTCTCTCTGCAGCAATCAGTTTCACAGCAGTGCTCAGCACTGGGACAAAAGGATCTGGATTTTCTGCACCAAAATTCTTGCATAAAAGCTTTAAGGCATACAACGCTGTCTGTCTGTTGATGGCTTGTTCTTCTTCCCCTTCCTTTTTCTTACGCTGCACAATGGCCAAAAGGTCTGGAACCAGCTTCAGGAAACGGTAAACCTAAAGGGGACAGCCACAATCCCCCAATCATTAAATCTGCAAAAAATGCTTGCCCATTTTCCCATGTCCTGGCTGGAGATTGTCTGAATGGAAATCAGACTAGGGGGTCCTGAGCCACAGTCACGCTAAGCAAAATGCATGTTCTAACTGGCTTTTCACTTACACAAAGAACCTACTGATTTGGAGTAACAGGGACTTAGAATTATGCTAAGGCTAAGGCCATGTAAGCTCCTTAGTAAGTAAGAATTCCACTAGGCTGAACTCCCATTCGAAGCACTCTTGCAACACAAGTAACTCCCATTAGAATCAACATCACATTGTAAAACATGTCATGGTATTACATTCAGGTAACAATAATATACTTCAATTTTAAACTGTAACACTGGAGAAAGTTAAGGGAGTCAAAAGCACTCTTTGATAAGTGAAGTCTAGTAAATAGGTGTGTCCTGGGTCTCCACTCACTACTGTCTTCTTCCAGGATATATTCTGCTGTAGCTTGTTATTCAAAAGGTCCAGTGCTTTCCGGCGAACAGATGGCAGGGGATTGCCCACCAGCCCTCTGATGACAGGAATGAATGTCTCTGTGGGCAGCAAGGCATTGACCTAAAGAGAAGTTTTATATTTAACATGAAAAGAAAAAAACGTTAAAAGAAAAAGATGAACTTCAAATAAGACAGACTGATGTCCATCGCACACCACCAGGTACAAGGCACTTTCCCACACATTTTCTTATTAATTCTTAGAATAACCTTTCGGGTAGGCAGCACTAACCACACGCCATCAAACAAAACAAAAACTCGATATTGGGGGGAATGTCAACGCCATGAAGCTAAATCATTTAGCTAGATTTGAAGAGCAATCCTAATTTCAAGGCCAGTGATATGCAGGTAACATACTTAATATTTCAACTTTATTGCACTTGAATAAAGTAGAACATTACATATTACATGGCTGAGTTATTAAATATATGAGGAACATGTTCTCATAACTGGTAGGGAAAGAATTTTTCCAGACAAATTTATTTCTAGTCATCAAGATATTATTTTCTAAGAAAAATCTGAGCTTCATTATATTCATAAATGGAACTTCTAAGTTTATTCTTAAAAGCTTTAAATAATTTCACAATAATATAAAAAACAGCAACGAAACAGTAATTCTGGGGAGAAAGGAAAACCCACCTTGTCTAACAGGTCGTAAGCTTTACTAAGGAGCGCTCGCCAGAACTTCACGGTGAGTTTGTCTGCGTTCTTTTCCACGGACTGTGCGACAGCGTTGATATAGCCGAGAACGGTCTCCAGCAACCTGGAACACGGAGCGTCGCTCAGCAAACAGCAGCTGAAGGCACTCAAAGAATTCACTCATGTCTACCTCATGCTAAATGTTTTAAGCAGAAATTAAATAATTCTGTGCTAAATTGTTTCAAAAACTATTTGGAAAGAAAGGAAGCGAGGGATTATTGTCATAGAGAGAGATCCCCTAGAAGTAAACAGGCACTTCTGTGCAAAAGTGTCATCCTTGCTCAGACTCAGGTGCTGAATAAGCAACACATGCTGAAGGTGTTTAAAGAGCTCATGCATCTCTCTCATGCTCAGTGGGCCTGACTGTGCTGTCTAGGTGGGGTTATGGCCCCAGGTTAATGGCAGATGTGGCATCTGCGCATGTGTGTGCACACACATGCAAGCACACACGCACAGGCACACAGACCATACACCATTTAGATCTAAGAGAAATATTAATACAAATGAACACATAACCCACATCTTCCACATTGTTAGAAGACATAAAAAGATTACAAACTTCAAATAACCTGTAATTAATAGAACACACACCAAATTCTGACACAACCACCACTGGAGCTCCCCCCACTGCTGCCAGCCTGAGTGGGGAGCTAGAGGGGAGAGTGGAGACAGGTTGCCAGTGCACAGCAGAGGAGGGGAGAAGAGGGCTCGGACAAAATCAGCTCCGGAAAAGGAAAGTCCTACACGTAGCTCTGAAAGTCGGCCCACAGGACGGGAGCTCAGCAGCTTACAGTCCTGGCTATAGGGCAGCACTGTGCCGTGGATGGGGCAGGATGGTGGCCCTGGGAATGCCAAGCATCCAGGAGGCACACAGCAAGGCCAGGAGGCACTCCCTGAGGACATGGGAGTGAAAGGAAAATTCCTGCACCCAAATATATAATGGCAGCATATGGATTATGAAGAAAGAATATTTTAATATTCATAGAAGAAATATCCATAATATTTCCATATTCTTTCTTCAAAATATCCACAGAAGAAAGAATTCACGAGCTCACAGAAATCAGGGCCAGATTAAAAGACCTTAAAAAGATATAGCAACTAAATACAATACAAAACTTGAAATGGGCCGTGAGGCAGAAACAAACGTGGTGTAAAGGACACCCCGGGATCATTAGGGAGACTGGAACGTGAACTGCAGATTCGATCACTGCATTGTATCAATGTTAAATTATCTGAATTTGATCAATGTAATGTGGTTTTATAAGAACACCTCTTATTCTTAGAGACATAATGTAAATGACTTACTTTCAAATGGCTGAGAGAAAAAACCCTATGTAGGAAGAATGCTGAAGCCAATGTGGCAGAAAAGTACTACCAAACAGTGAACCCGGCTGTAAGGACTACATGAGTTTTCTGTACTATTTTTCCAGTTTTTCTGTAAGTTTGAGTCCTTTCCAAATAAAAAGTAAAAAAAGAAAAGTAAACACACCTCTCTTCAAGGCCTTTTAAAACCTCAGGACCACCACTCTCAACCACCTAATTTTTAAAGAAGATGTCATTAGAACAGTATGAAAGTCAATAATAAAAGTCATTTCAAGTCAGTTCAATGAAACACAGGCCATTCACTCAAACCTTCCACAGCACTGTTTTCTGACATTATTACAATTTAATCAGGTTCATATCATCCTCATTATAATAATTTGTTTTAATTACATTCTACTGGTAGTTATCTGAAAACTACTACAAAGGTTCAGAAAAATACAGCAATCAACACTCAATTACCCACTACCTAATTCTATGACATGCTGATCTGCTGAGCTCATATATCATTTGTTAAGCAGTTAAACATTACAGATTCAGCTGGAATCCCCTGAGTACTGCTCCTTGGTCCTATTCTCCCACTACCCCAAGCCCCACAAAGACAACCATCATTCCAAATCTGCTACCTTTTCAAACAGTACGTATCATGGAACAACATGTTTTCCTAGAAATATGTATTTGAGATCTATGCATGGTGACAACATTCTAGTTCATTCATTTTAACTGCATACGACATTCCTCTCTAAATACAACTTATCTATCCATTTGCCTCTCTTGCTAGATGTTTAGATTATGTCAATTTTTCCCCCATTTACTAATAATGCTACAGAAGAACATCTTTATTTCCTTTGAGCATCTCGGCAAGTTTTTATAGCATATATGCCTAAGAAAGAGAATGACTAGATCACAGGAATTACTAGAACCTTCAACCTCATGGGATCCTGCCAACTGCTTTCTAAGGTGGTTGGAACAACTCACATTGTCTGCCACTATGTACCCACTCCCTGCTATTAACAACTTTTTAAAAAAGTTTTGCCAATTTGATGGGTATCACACTTAATCACATTTCCTGTTTACCGGAGAGGCTAAATGACATGTATATTTTAATTGGCCATTCGTGATTTCTCTTCAGTGAATTAATATTCTTTGTCAGTTGTTCTAATGGAAATTGATGCTTTTTGATTTATACAGAGCGATAATCTTCTCTTAGGCTGTGGCTTTCTTTCCACCTTGTTTATGGTGCCTTTCTGTTCAGTCAAATTTTAAAGAAATTCTTTTCTATCCTCTGGTCACAACATTCTCCTTGATTTACTTCTATACATTTGAACTGTTTTTTCCAGTGAAGCTTTACTCTGCCTAAAGTTGTCTTTTGTATAAGGCATGACATCAGACTTTTCCCCAAATGGAAAAGAAAGCATGGCAGGGCCAGTACTTGGACCGTTCTCTTCCCCCACTGTTTTGTAAAAGTATCTGCTGCACTTCTTACCTCCACCTGGGTGTGTTTCTGGGCTTACTGTTCAGTGCCATGATCCGTCTGATTACTCCTGCACCACTGTCCTTGGCCCCTTACAGTTTGGTATCAATGTATCGAAATGATTTCTTAGAATGATGTAATTGAAAAAGTACATTGAGTTTCTAGACTAATCTGAGCAGATCTGGAATCTTTACAGAGCGAGGCTTCTGATGCGTAAACACAGGGTCTCTCCATTTCTTCCAAGTTTTCGTCTGTGTCCCTTAATATCTTGGACATTCCCCCATAATATTCGTGCACATATTTTTGTCAGGCTTATTCTTGGTACTTTATAGGTCTATTTTTTCTAAGTTTATGTTTTTATTATACAGGAAATCTTTTTTTGACTGTTTTCTAACTTGAGGAATAATAACATTATATAACAGTGTGTGAGACTAATTAGTTCAGCTAGCTTGCTTGATACAGACTGCAACCTACACTGATCTCTAGATAGTGTCTACACTGACCCCTCTCAAGCAAGCTTACCGAACTCACTATTAGTTCTAATTGCTGATCCTCTTCTTTCCGGATTCTTACACTTCATTTCTTTTCGTGAATAGAAACAATGACAGAGGGCATTCTTTCCCTAACTTTAGCGGGCACACCATTAATATTTCATCATTAGGTATGATATAAATCACAAGCTTCTGATTGTCACCTTTATCAGGCCAAGTAATTCCCATCTATTCTGTACTGCCAAGAAGATTTTTTTTTCTTAAAGTGTGAATGAGTACTGAATCTGCTGCATTATTTCTCTGTAAAAAGTACAACGATCATGTGGTTTCCCCTCTTCATCTGTTAATGCATTATAGTATTTAATGTACTTTATAGTACTCTAATGTCAAACCATTTTGTATCCCTGGTCATGATACTCCTTTCTTTCCTTCCTTTTCTTTCATCGTTCAAACCAATTTAATACACAAACAGAAATGTACATAGATCATGAATGCAGAACTCACTATATCCAGGTAACAAAGGCTGGGCATGGTGGCTCATGCCTGTAATCCCAGTATTTTGGGAGCTCGAGGTGGGAGGATCGCTTGAGGCCAGCAGTTTGACATCAGCCTGGGCAATATAGCGAGACCCCATCTCTAAAAATTAAAGCTTTAAAATTAGCCAGATGTAGGTGGCACACGCTTGTAGTCCCACTGCTTGGGAAGCCAAGGCAAGAGGACTATTTGAGCCCAAGAGTTCCAGGTTACAGTGAGCCATGATCACTCCATTGCACTTTAGCCTAGTACACAGAGTGAGACCTGTCTCAAAAAACCAAATAAAATGTAGGCAATTTACTCTCTTGGTAGACACTTGGGTTGTTACCAGTTCTGGGCTACCATGAAGAATGTTATTAATACTATAAACATTCTTGTAGACTTTTTTGGTGTACATGTTCATACACTTCTGGTGTGGGTACACAACACTTAAGACTTAAACCACAGAGTCATAGAGTGTACATTATGTTCAAGCTCAGTGGATCGTGATAGTTTTCCATGGTGAAATGTACTATCTTCCCCTATTATCTTTAAAGGCATGCCTCACATTTTCATGAGCCACTTACCAAGCTACTTTCACTAGTTTAAAACATGTTTCCCTTGGAAAGAGCAAAACCACTTTACTATAAACATTTGAAGAACACATTACCTTTTTCAGAAAATTATCGGAAGACAGGAGCTGAGACATGAAGGACACTGACAAAAACTTAAAATGCCGCAGCTGCTTGCTAGTGTGCGTCTCCACATTAAAAATCAGTAGCATTTCTTCTTGTGATTCGCTCTTATTAGACACTGCTTTGGGAATGGTTTCTGAAACAGCAACAAAATAAGTGACCTCACTCATTTTCACCTGAATCCTTGGTACAGATACATTAATAGATACGACCTTTGAAGTACAGGACGGTTAATGGGGTAACATTTTCACAGAGAAATTTGTCATTCTATTACATCCAGTTTCTCCTCTTCTAAATTAGTGAAAAATGTGAGTGTATTTATTTGCCAAGAAAGTACCCAACAGCCTTGAGAAGTGGGTGTTTAAGGCAAAAAGCAAAAGAAAACAGGGAAACAGGACAATCAACAGAAGGAGTCTCTGAACTTCCGACTGCGGATGTAGATTTTTTTATTCAATGCATCTAATGTAAACAGGGTTGGCAGTGCAGTGTCTGGAGTGGCACCTGTGGTGGTCCCCTTAAAAACCACTATCCTAGAGAATGACTTACCGCGAAGACACTTCCTTACCCACATTACCACACACAGCTCTCCAGGGCCCTCTCTAGTCTGTCCCTACCAAACCTGAGCTGACTGCAGGATGGGACAAGTTACTGCATGGCCAAAAAGGGATGACAGGGCTAATGGCTGGCCATGCAGAAAATTATCTCTGCAAAGCTCTTAGTACCTTCTTTCTAATGTGCCTTGTTGTTCTGCTTCGAAGGGTAGAGAACTAAGAACTTTCAACACGTCGACCCTTTCTTAAAGAAAAAAAAATTGTTTTTTTAGCGAGGGGGTCTTACTATGCTGCTCAGGCTGGTCTTGAACTCCTGGACTCAAGTGATCCTCCCATCTCGCTCTTCTGAGTAGTTGAGACCACAGGCTGACACCATCACACCTGGTTTCATCAACCTTTCTAAGCTAGCCTCAGTGGCGCTGCGATTAGTGAGATTTTCTTTAAGGCTCTGCTGTATGGCACAATTTCAGCATTTCACTACCACTCCTGTGGTACCAATTTTTTTTTCTTTTCATGTAAATATCTCCAGATATTTTAAAGAGAAGCTGAGAGACGGCTAAGGAAGTCCTGATCATTTACAGTCATTTGAACCTAACTCATCCAGGATATTGGTAACATTCCGTAGCTAAGACATCAGCGCAGGGCACAGAGGTATAAAAGACAATGTGTGAGGAATGGCAAGTGGAATTCCTATGACTATTTTCCATAAGGATTCAAGAAAGTACACCATCAAATTAAAATGACTGACTGACTTTAAACATCATTCTGAAGATGTATTAGGAATAACCTGAGTTCTCTTCCGCTTCTCTTTGGCTTTCAGATTGAACAGTCAGTGACACCCGGTCTACGCTTACCTTCTTTTTCCTCTGGAAGCTTTAGTAAGTACTGGAGGATTTTCATCAAGCTTTGTATCTGATGCTGGACACTAAATTCACAACAGACTGAAAACCAAAATTCAGTGTCTGCTTCTAAAATAGCATCCTGTGCAGAAAGAAAAATGTAACAAATCTGTACTTATGGAATTGCAAAGGCATAATTTCAGGACAACACGCATTATGATTTCTAGCAGAACAGAGTATAGCACTTTATTTAGAGTAGGTCGAAATCTACTCCCAGATCCCATATCTAAGAAGTCATTTGAAAACGTTCCTTGACTTATCCAAACAGGGCTTTTCTGAACAATCACCCGTGTCTGTGTCTTACTGACTGCAGGGACATGGGCGCTCTTCCATTTCCCCCCACACTGCCTTCAAAATCACTTTCAAGAGACACTGTTTCATTACTCTTTAGCCGTACTCTGCTGGGCTTAAAACAGAACCACCCGCATGGCACCAGATCTGTTTCTCAGAAAAGTTAATTTGCCCTCAGAAGAGATTTTGCTACAACTGAGGATATTCAGAGTGCTATGGGCTCTGAATGCAATTTTTTAAAATGCCAAAAAACCTTTCTGAAAAAGGTTCTAAATAACACATATTAAGCATCATCAGTCTGATGTTTAAACTGCACAATATCACAAAATCTTTGTGAGAAATCACCATTTTCCTTTTCTTCCCACCCTAGGTTCTGACCTTTTCTCCACAGGCAGCTGCCAGCACTGTTTTTGTGACATACTGTTCAAAAAGCAAGATGAGGAGAACCCAGAGGAATTTTTCTGCACCCAGTGTATCAACAAGTTGAACAAGGATGGGCAGGCGCCTGTGCTCGGGGACATGTGGTAACGCATCCACAAATACATTAATGATTTTTACCACAATCTCTTCAACGTTTCTTGTAACTTCTATAGAATCTCCACTATCAGACTGCAAAACAGCAAGCAGAGACAATGAGTAGGTGCAAGTAATCCTCCACAAAACAAGCTTTAGGTGGATAAGGTAAGGCTTTGATGTGCCCCAAGAAGTTATTGGAAGAATGAATGAATGAATGAATGAATTTATATATATATATATATATATATATATATATAAATAAACAGGGTCTTTCTCAGTGGCCCAGGCTGAAGTGTGGTGGCGTGATCATATGTTACTGCAGCCTGGATCTCCTGCGTTCAAAGCAATCCTTCTGCCTCAGCCTCCCAAAAAGCTGTGACAACCTAGCATCTCCTACACTACTTTTTAAAAATTGTGTAGATATGGGCTTTTGCTATGTTGACCAGGCTGGTCTCAAACTCCTGGCCTCAAATAATCCCACCTCAGCCCCCCAAAGTGCTGGTGTTACAGGTACATGCCACCACACTCAGTCAGAAGAGTTTTAATAATCAAAGGCCTAACAATAAATATTCAGTAAGTACCTATCATGTCCAGGTCACTCTTTAGCCACGAGGGGAATACAAAGTGTACAATGTGAGCCCTGTCCAAAGGAGATTTATTTTCTGTATGAAACAGGATACATGGCTGGGGGTGGTGGCTCACACCTGTAATCCCAGCACTTTGGGAGGCCAAGGTGGGCAGATCACCTGAGATCAGGAGTTCAAGACCAGCCTGGCCAACATGGTGAAACTCCATCTCTACTAAAAATACAAAATTAGATGGGTGTGGTAGTGCATGCCTGTAGTCCCAGCTACTCAGGAGGATGAGGCAGGAAAATCACTTGAAAGGAGGAAGCTGAGGTTGTAGTGAGCTGAGATCGTGCCATTGCACTCTAGCCTGGGAAACTAGAGCGAAACTCCATCTTGAAAAACAAACCAAAAAAGAAACAGGATACATATGTGAAAAGATAACAAGAGGCAGTAACAGCAGATGCCAAATATGTGGCACTGACAGCAAGCCTGCTCAGGCTGCCTGGTAGGCTGCACAAATTACGCAGGATTTGGGTTGTGCCTCAAGAAGAATGACGATAAGCAGAGCACAGAAAAAGCCAACGACTTCCTGCTGTTTTCACAATAAAGTTTGAACCATTTTACTCTGGGGTATTGGTGATCACAATATAGTTGCTGAATAAATGACAGAAGGAAAGACAAAAAACACTGGAATGAATGGATAAACCCATGTCTACCTGTCTCAACCCTGTGCTCTCCACCAATTGAGCTACATATATTACATTCTTCAAACACACTGTGCACATTCCTAGATCATGCCTTTTCTTATGCTGTTGGCTCTCCCATCACTGAACAAATCCTATCCTTCTTTCACACCAGTTCAAATTCTATTTCTTATGAAATTTTGTGGTCATCCTGGCCCATATGGACTCTCCCATTCCAACCTTTTCATCACTTACTTATTCAATTGGCACTGATCATATGAATGCATACTGTTATTTTTCTATTTATGTATCTATCCTATGCTTGCCCATTTGGTGGACACTGAGAACACCAATCTAATACTGAGGTTAAAAGAAGGTGCTGGATATGGTCATCCCTGGGATGGCCAACAGCATCAGAAAAGACGTTAATTAACATGTGAGGGTAAATAGAAAACTCAAGTAGATGACCAAGCTCTTTCACTCTTGAGGCTACTTTTATCTTTTGAATTATTCATTCCTTACTGGGAGAGAGAACATCTCACCTCTCTCTCCTGAGTTTAGCTTTTAGAGAATGCTTGGTAAACATTTGCGGAACTGCACGTTAGCAAATTTGTCAGTGTAGCTCTAAAAGTCATCCTCGTCAACAGACAAGAAGGTATTATCAGACCGATGCAATGTCCTGAAATAGACAGTGGACGGCAATTCACCCCATCAGAATGATGTTATAGCCACACACTCACAGCACAGCAGAACCAGCTATAACATGCTTGTTTATATTATTGGAAAAGACTTTGCCCAGACTGCTTCTTAGCTTCAGCATCCTAAAACTGAAGGGCAATGTACTTGAGTATTTCAGAAAGGCCTTTATACAGTACAATTGCTGAGAATATTAAAAAACAAAAAGACTAAAAAAAAAAAAAAAAAAAAAGCTTTTAATGTTATTTATATGCAAAACTTTTAAATTGAAAAAAGAAACCCCAAGATGGCAAAAAGACAGCTTACCTGAATAAGTGCGGGAATAACCATTTTTACTGTCTTGTTAATAACCTGAAAACTGTAAGCATCATCTAGGCGCATGACATTGGCTCCCATAAATGTAAAAATAGACATGATATTGTGTAGAACTTTATCCTGAAAGAAAATGTAACTATCAACATTTTCTGTATTTATTAATTTATATATCATATACATATATATTTTTTAAAGAGATAGGGTCTTATTCTGTCATTCAAGCTGGGGTGCAGTTACGTGATCACAGTTCACTGTAACCTTAAACTCCTAAGCTCAAGCAATCCTCCTCCCATCCTAAGCCTTCTGAGTAGCTAGGACTACAGGTGCACACCACCATGCCCAGCTAATTTTCGTTCTTTTTCTTTTTTTGTAAGGATGGGGTTCTCACTACGTTACTCAGGCTGGTCTTGAACTCCTGGCCACAAGTGGTATTTCTGCCTCAGGCTAACATTCTCTATTTCAAACACATCAAATATCAATGATTGATTACAACTCACCAATAAAAAGAGAAATAACCTGATTAAAAAATAGGCAAAGGATTTGAAAAGGCATTTCTCCAGAAAAAATTTCATACAAACAGCATATAAGCATAAATTCATATGAAAAGCATATAAGCATAAATACTACCTCACACTCACTAGGATGGTGATAAAAAAAAGACAATAACAAGTCCTGGCAAGAATGTGAAGAAACTGGGATTTTTACAGCCTGCTGGTGGCAGAAAAATGGTGTGGAAAATAGTCTTACAAGCTACGCCAAAGTTAAACATAAAGTTCCGCATGACCCAGGATTCCATTCCTAGGTATACATACCCAGGAGAAATGAAAACACGGCCACACAAACCTTGTCTAGAATATTCATAGCAACATAATTTATAATAGCCCCAAAGTAGCAACAACCCAAATGTCCATCACTGATGAACAGATAAACGAAATGTGGCATACACATGCAATATTATTCAGTCACAAAAGGAATACTGATTCAAGCTTCAACATGAATGAACCCCAAAAACAGTATGCTAAGCAAAAGAAGTCAGACACAGAGGGCCACATATGGTATGACTTAATTTATATGACATGCCCAGCAGAGGCAGATTGATAGAGACGGCAAATGGATTAGTGGTGGCCAGGAGAAGGGTGGTGGTGGTAGGGAGCAGGGGGAGGAAGACTGACTGTTAATGGGTGTGGAGTTTCGTTTCTGGGGTGATGAAAACGCTCTTTAAGTAGATTGTGGTGGTGATTACACAAACTTTGTGAATATACTAAAACCACTTAATTGTATACTTTAAATGGGTGAATTTTATGGCATCTGAACTATATTTCAGTAAAAACAGAAAAATATTAATGATTTTTTAATCATTAATATTTCTGTTTCTGGTTTATCAACCCCTTTGAGAAGCAAAGATTCTCTTACAAGAAAAAAAAAATCCCATATACATAAAACCTTGCATATAATTTGAGTAGATGAAGACCCCCTAAAGCTCATGGAGAACCCCAGGTTAAGAACCTCTGACCTAAATCCCCAATATGAAAATAGTTTCAATCTCTTTACAAATTTTTAAATGATGTTTTTCATAAAAGGGACATGATTTGTTTAAATGACATAGTTTATGATCAAATTAATTTTCTCAAGTTGCTAAAGGTTATTTTGAGGATTACTTGAGGATAAATGAGTTAATAACTTTACCCAAATAACACTAATACCCACTGTTTTATTAGACAGTTAGTGTGCCAGCTACTGTGCTAAGTACTAATCACAAATTATCCAACTGAATTCCCCCAACAATCCAATGAAGAAGGTTATTATTCCCACTTGATAAAAAGGGAAACCAAAGCTTAGCAAGATCAACTGGCTCATACTGTCCCAGCTATGAAGAGTCAGGGCTGAGAGTCTCACCAGTGCTGGAAGATTCCAAAGTCTAATTAATTTAAATCAGTAGGTGCCGATGCATTTCTGTGGAAGAAAAGTATCTGAAGTATCTGCTAAAATCTTAAACTATTAACACTTACCGGAAATATTCCAGCAACAGTGCCCAAAAGTAAAAGGGCATGGTGATGGGTCTGAGGCATCTCCGAAAGGCGGATGCATTGAACGATCAACTCCACATTGAACTTCTCCTCATCTAAAATATCTACAATGTTAAGAAAGACAAAAACCCTAAGTGGCAGGTACATTCACACTCAAAGTAGACAATTTTTCTAACCTTTCCTTCCAAAAAGTACATACCTTTGGGTATTTTGCCACCATCTGGAGAGAGTTTTTGGCAGATGTTGAGCAGACAACTAAGAATTAACTGTTTGGTGTACTCCATATTTCCCTGCTCTTGTGGCAAGGGTTCCAAACACCTTCAGGACACCCAAAAGAGAAATGATGGGAAACGTGAAAGTTGTCAATTCACTGTTGCATTAATGACCACTATCCAGAACTCACATTCAATAACTAAAGTACTATCATTAAACATGAAATCTATAAATAAGATGTAAGGTTTCGAACTCTAATTTCCTCTCATACAGACGTGCTACGTCAAATTCCCTTTCTTCTCTACTGCACTTTTCATTAATCTATTTGGAATCTTACAGGACACCTCCTGAATTACTTTGCCTTTCACATGAAAGCACATTCCACAATGCATACTCTATAGCTGTCTAACAATTTATACCAAAGAAGTGTCTCTCTGTATACATATAAAAATATACATCTATATGTAAAAATATATATAGATAGCAAACACTATGTATATACACACACACACAAATTCAACACTATATCTTAAAATACAATTAAGGATGCCCCAGGCATGTTACTGAAAAGTTCAGAAGGAAAACAGGCTGTAAAGTGAGTGGTCATTTACGACATGATACAGGGCACTAAGGTCAGTTTGGGGCACTGGCAATGGATACCTAAAACCCATCTTTCAATTTCACCTCTAGTTCTTGCTTTATTTCAACAAAAGAGTATGTTGAAAAGAGAAGGTTAGATAAGATGGGCAAGAAGTAAGAGTCCTGTTCTCTCACAGATCAATTACCTTGAGAGCAAGTTAAAGAGAGTTGGCACCAGTATCTGGGGACTTTTGAGCTTCTTTTTGTGCTGCAGTAATTCCAGGATGAGAGTTACTCTTTGCCAGTAGGAACCTCCAACTTCCTGAACAGATTCTAGATCTTGTGATTTTCTGGAAAACAGAGAAGACAGAAAGTAGGAAAAGCAAACACTATCATGTGCGAAGTAAAAAACCATTGTGCCCGATTATGGCAAACTGATGGGTGTCAGAAAGTCCCAATGGCTTCCTAACGTTCAAAGCCAGGGAACGAAAGCATGTACTCAACACATCTGTAGCTCTTACTTCTGCTGCATTTTTTCCCTTCTTTTTTGCTGAACTGTGCCCAAGGATTTAGCTTTATCTGGTGGCTCCAGTTCTATTCTGACTTGTTCAGCGTTAACGGAAATCTGAAACATGAAGGAAGAACAGTTGATGATATAATCTATTGGGATAAAATTAGAGCAATAAATGTTAGATTAAGACATACAATGAAAGTATTTACATCCATTTTTATGTCTTTATACCACTTTATAGCCCAGGCCAATCACCAAACGCAAACATCACTGACAATTTTTTTATGCTTCCTTTAAAAAACTTTCTACATACCAATGGCTACATATTCTATTAAAAAACATAAATAGAAACATACTATGCACATTGCTCTGTACCCTGGTATGTTTCACTTAGTGTACCTTGAATACCTGCTCTCATCAGTATATACTTAATTTATCATATGGTATATATTGTCACAAAGCATAAAAGAGTGCTTCATATAATCAAGTGTATTTCAGTCATCAAAATAACTTTTGTTTTCAAAGTACAGCTGGCCTGACATTTAAGGCCAATCTTATCTCCGGCTGATATGGCATGACTAGCAAGTATCTCATATACTCTCTAGCCCACTCTTGAATAGAAGAGGGAGGAATTTGGATTAGCACTTTCCTTCTAATAACCCTTTAAATGCTTTAAGATGTTCTCATTTAGACTAGATCTTAGCTCATCAATCAGCACTTAATTAGTACTATATTTAAAGCCTGCTAAAAATGTGCTTCTTGTGATTCTAATTTTTTCCCACATTTCTTTAAAAATATTAAAACCAAAATCAGATATTAACCCCTAGGAAGGATTTATTCAATTAAGAGTGAAGAATGACTTACTGGATATGCAGCTACATCCCCCCAGCATTTGATGCTACTGCCTTGTTACAGAACTCTTGAAAAACCAGAATGCAAAGAAAGCAAAGTAGAGAAGGGTATAAACAAAAAGCACTAGCCAACAGAAATTCAACCTCAGATTTTCATTTTAACTGAGCTCTCCTACTACCAGGCACTTGCTTTCTATATGGTTTGTCTTAGGAGCCTCAAGTTACAGCCCTGCACTTGGCTTGATTATGATATGGTATCGCTTCTCCAGTCCAGTCAATTTCATGTTCATTCCTTAGAGTGGAAAACTAGTAACACAATATAGAATCATCCATACCAACAGGTTCCAAGTGTCGGATCAGGTATGTATATTCTTATCAGCCAAGAAGGAATAAGACATAGACACACACCCACAAAAACAGATTCATACCCCCAGAAATTCTTCAGATACGGGATGGGATCCAGATAACTCGTTTTATAAGGTTCTAACAAATCTTTGGATTCTGATTCGAAGAAAACAACTATAAAAAATACTTTTGAGATAACCATGGAAATATGATATGAACTAGGTATTAGATAATATCGAGGAATGATGTGATTATTCATTTTTTTTTTTACTACTAATGGCATTGTAGTTGTATCCACTTTGCAAAAGATGCACACTGAAGTACAGAGGGATGAAAGTGCATGACATTTTGAGACTTACTTTAAAATACTTCAGCAAAGGCAAAGAAGGAAAAAGATTAAGTAAGTATGTTAAAATTCTGAGAACTGCTGAATCTAGATACTAGAACTTCATATTATTCTATATTCAAAAAAAAAAAAAAAAAAGAATAACCAGGTAGCTAGTCAGATAATAGCTAGGCTTCAATACACATATGAAACCAACAAGCAGAATTTCAATTCCATTATATGTCATTAAACAACTGTTTAAATTAAGTAGAATGAAGTTACCTAGTTCAACACTAGCCACTCACTCATTCCCATTCCCTGCATAAAGGAATAGGTAGATTCCCCCTAGTACCAGTAAGAGCACACACATACAAATTCCTACACATCCTATCTGGTTTGAACTATCAGTAAATATTTCAGAAAATAAAATGGTAAAGACTTGTAATTTTTATTTTATGCCTCTCTATGATTTACTTTTTCATGATTCCTGTTAATGGTAACATCTGACCTCTCAGAAGCACTGTAAATTGCAGGACTCTTAAACATGGTGTCCCTTGGAAGAAACTAAACATTAATAAAAAACACTTACACGAAGTTTGCAGCTTACCCCTTTAAAAACACTGCTGATAGTCTGAGCACAATGTGAGTTTTTACAGTTCACCAATAAATCAAACAACATTCTTAAAAGCTTCTGCTGAACTCTTTCATCTGATATGGCTGCGAAAAATGGTTTTGTAATCTAGAGGGGGTAGAAAAAAGGTAAATGAGTTCAGAGAATAAGTTTAAACTCCAGAAATAAATTTATCACCCTCTCTGGAAATATAAAATTGTTTCCCATTTAAATACGTCAGTGAAAATGCCAATTCTTTTTAATGACCCATGTACAACATTCACTTCTGCAAAATGGGTCACATTCCTTTAAAACATGTCAAGTCCACCTATAACTATCTTCTCCAAATAAAATACTACATTTTTCTTTCACTCTGTTCCTGTTGCCTTTACCTTTAAATGCTTGAACTTGCCATGCCTTAGGTTCTGAAAGAAATCACTGACCTTTTCAAGGGCTGTAATCTGAATGGTTGGCATTCCTGCGTAAAGTTCCTTTGTTGTATGCACAGCTTTTATAAATATATCTAGACTCTTCGGATCCTTATTTAAAAGGGAAGATGAAAATTCATTATACTTTCCCAGAGTGAGATGCAAAACAATGGCCTCATCTTTCAGGACAGCTGTGGGCTCCTTCTGAATCTTTTCCAGCAGTTGTTCAGCCATAGGCAATAGCTGAGAAAGCACCATCTAAAGATTGAAAGACTTGTTAGTAAATAGTTACCTACACTGCTATGTTTTTGCTCACTCTACAGAGACACCCAAAGATATCCTGTTGGGTGATCGGAGTGTAGCCTGGAGGAAAAAACCCAGTAATGATAACTTCTTAGATATGGAGACAGCTATTAATTCACGCCAAGGCACTCAGGTCCTTTCTGATAGTTCATGTGTAATGCTCAAAAGCGCTAAACCCTTAAAAGACAAGTAGAAAGAATCCGTGAGCATCCTTCAAGACTTGAGAACAGAAGTCACAAACTAAAACTTTAGTGTATAAAAATAAAGCTTAACATTCCCCAAAACACTGTATGCATCCCTCAATGTTTCCAACTTGGTATAATAAATATTAATTCAAATTATGTATGTGAATCTTTTACTACTAAACCAGGGGCCAGCAAATTATAACTTGCAGGCCAAATTCAACAGACCACCTGTTTTTGTAAATTTTATGTACTGAAACACAGCCATGTATATTTGTTTATATGCTGTCTGTGGCTGCTTTCCTGATAAAACAGCAGAGATGAGCAGCTGTAACAGAGACTGTGTGGTCCAGAACACATAAATCTTTACTATCTGGTCCTTTACACAATTTGTCAGTTCCTAATTTAAACTATACCAGGGACAACTAAGAGTTGAACGCAACCTGTTTCAGTCCATTTTACTCATTTCCGTTTTCTAAGTCTGTATTCAGTCTAAGGCTGATCAAGTGCACGGGCGTGAAGAAACCTTTTCTCTGCTGGTCAGCACATGCCATCACATAAACAAGTGTTTCACAACTGCTTTCTTTTCTAACACAAGCTTCCTTGAGAACATAATGAAAGCTCTAAATATATCTAATAAACAAGCAAATGATTTTGGAATTTTCACAGACTCAAGTTCAAATATATTCCTTTGTATAAAATTTTCACTTGAAAAACAGCTATACAGCAGTGCAGCCCCATGAGACAGACACTAGACTCTTAAGTTGATTTAAAATAAACTTAATGATTAGACAGGGACAACACATTTAATTTTAAAATAAAAAGAAACTCACCAGTACTTGTTTTTGTATCTTGCATCTTTTTTTCTCTACCTCGACTCATCCCCCTCTCAAATTAATATTACAGTTATCTCTCCTGAGTGCACACATGCAACTCTTGCAATTGTCTTCCTCATCCACAAGCAGTTACAACTCTTTAGTAACATCACAGGAACATACAATCCACTTAAATGGCACATACCTCACTGCTGACTCCCTGAAGTACTTTCATCAAATCTTTTGCTATATAAGATGGGCAACTATATACACAACTAAGTAGGTTTTTCAAAGTGTCGGACAACTTCTGATGAGATTTCAGTTTCTTTTCTCTCTGTAGTTCCTCAAACAAAGTAGCCAAATCCTAAGATACCAAAAAGAAAACTGGATTAAAAAAGGGTTAAGAAACTATAAAGGCTAAATATATTAATTATAGAAGATTCTTACCCAAATGATGTGACACTGTTTATAATTTTCCATTTCCCCTTAAAACCTTAGTAAGAAAGGTTACTTACAACACATAGTTGGCTTACTATGAAAACTATACACTAGTACTTTATCCAGTGAAAATAAAGAAGTTGAAATATGACACTGCTATCTTATAAAAAGTAGGGGGAGACAGATGTACAGATATTGACATATCAGTTCCTAAATTCAAGGACTTAGTTCATCAAAATCCCTACACAGTAAAACGTCGAGAATGGAGAAAATTGCCCATGTGTACGCACAGGCATGAACACACTCAATCTTTGCTAACGAGCTTACCTGAATAACATACGTAGCATCTGAAGTGATCTCCTCTGCTTTAGAAATCAAATAATCTATTATCAGATGAAGAGGGGACACCACTCCACTGAGGACCTGGAGACACTGAACGGCAGCCCTACGAACTTCTTTTATGGGGCTTCCCAGGTTAATGAGTAAAGATGTCACCACTAAAACCAAAAGGAAAAAAGATTTAAAAAACAATTTAAAAAACTGAAACAGTACAAAATTTACATAGTTTCAAAGGTACTTGACAAAAAGTTTCCCTTCAAATTCAAACTCCCTCTCCAGAGACTCTTCACTGTTTAAGTATTTAATATTCCAGAGAAATGATAGGCATATGTTATCTGGTGCATTCTTTTGAAAATACAGAAATAAAAGCATACCCTGTTCTACACCAACTACTATCTCATCTGAACGGGATGTCGTGTAGTGGCGTGGTCTCAGCACACCGCAACCTCCGCCTCCTGGATTCAAGCAATTCTCCTGCCTCGGCCTCTCGAGTAGCTGGGATTACAGGTGCGCACCACCACAACTGGCTAATTTTTGTATTGTTAGTAGAGACGGTGTTTTACCATGTTGGCCAGGATGGTCTTGAACTCCTTATCTCAAATGATCCACCCACCCTGGACTCCCAAAGTGCTGGGATTACAGACATATCTCAACTCTTGGGAGGGTTTTCCATAAGTAGACCTATATCCGAATTAAATCATTCTTTTTAACTGTAAAGTATATTTTAATGTATTTTCCATATTTTAAAAATCAGTACCTTACTGGTAAAGTTCAGGTTGTTTCTATTCCTTTGTCATCATTACAGTGCTGCAACAAACACCCCTGTACATACAGCCTTGCACAAGTGTGCACAGGGAATTATCCGTTTGTGCATCATACTTTGCCAATATTTGGTCTCGGACTGGTGTGTGTGATTTCACTTTTTGACAGAGAAATGTTATGGTTAAATTTTTCTAGTATTTTCTGTTGCTTAGAAAGGCCCTCCCCACTCTAAGTGAATTTAGAAAGTATCTCTCTCTCTATTTAGAGAGAGATCATATGTACTTCATGCTTTCTTCTAATGCCAGAGCTAACTTGATATTAAATCTTTAGTTCACATGAAATTTTTATATAGAGAATGAGGTTGGAGTCAAACTTTCTAATGTTTCCAAATGGACAGCCAGATGTCCCATTTAATGATCCCCATAACCGTATTACAGATCTTTGATTTCAGCTTTATTACATTGATACATTCCATAAATAATTGAAACTTGTCTATTTCTGCCAGCTAATACTTCTAGAATCATGTTCAATGACAGTGGTGATTCTAACAGGAATGCGTTTGTTTTGCCAATTACGAAGTGAAAATGCTAGCTTTTGATTTGAGGAATTTTTGGATCATGTTACTCCTGTTTTGCTGTCAATTAGGAATAACCACTGATTTTTGGCTAATTATCTTTTCAGATCTTTGGACATTTTATGGGTTTTGCCCTTCAACACTCATATAGTCAATTAATTAACATATTTCCTTTTACTGAACCAATTTTACATTCTGGGCGTGAACTCTAGCTGGGTAAATGATTATTTTTATAAATATGCTGTTAGATCCTATTTGCAAATATTTAGGATTTTTACATAATATTCTTCAAAGCAACATGGATGATAGTTTTTTGTGTGGAGGCTTTCTCAATTTTCAGTGTTATGCCAGTTTTAGACAAAGAATCTGGAAGCTTCCCTTCTCTATACCCTGCCCAGTTCAACAACATTGAAAAAATCTGCTTCAAAGATCCAGTAAGAATGCATCTGTGAGACCAACTGCACTAGGGTTTTTAAAAAGATGTATTTGGAACAAAGAGATATCTAAATTCCTTTTACGGTAATTAGTTATTTAAGCTTCATTTCATGCCATCTACTACAGCAAACTTGGTCATTTATATTTTGCTAGAAATTATCCATTATACTTTCCACTTCTGAAACACTAAGATAAAGCTTGACAAGCTTTCAAACCTAACAAGTTCATACAGGTTGAGCAACCTTTATCCAAAAATCCAAAACCTCAAATTTTTGGAGCGCCAATATGATGCAAATGGAAAATTCCACACCTAACCTCATGTGATGAGCTGCAGTGAAAATGCAGGCATAGAACTGCTTATTCGGTATCCCTACGGAAAAAAAGAGCCTCATAGCTCTCTGCAGCTGCAATATATCTTTTTTCAAAAGCTAAAATTCCTCCACACAAGCATGCCCACAAAGGATCAATAGTTCAATGTACCCATTGTTTCAAGCACAAAATTATTAAAAATAGTGTAAAAAACTGGATGGACACAGAGGCTCATGTCTGTCATCCCAGCACTTTGGGAGGCTGAGGGAGGAGAATCACTTAAGGCCAGGAGTTCATGACTAGTCTGGACAACATCACCAAGATCATGTCTCTACACATTTAACAAAAAAAATTAGTAAGGCCTAGTGGCACAGGCCTTTAGTCCTAGCTATGAGGGAGGCTGAGATGGGAAGATGGCTTGAGGCCAGGAATTCGAGGCTGCAGTTAAAAACTAAAACAGGGCTGGGTATGGTGGCTCACACCTATAATCCCGGCACTTTGGGAAGCCGAGGCAGGTGGATCACTTGAGGTCGGGAGACCAGCTTGGGCAATATGGCAAAACCCCATCTCTACTAAAAATACAAAAGCTAGTTGGGCATGGTGACGTGCACCTGTAGCCCCAGCTACTCAGGAGGCTGAGGCAGAAGAATCACTTGAACCCAGGAGGCAGAGGCTGCAGTGAGCCGAGATCGCGCCACTGCACTCCAGCCTGGCGACAGTGACCGATCGAGATTCTGTCTTAAAAAAAAAAAAAATCTTAGCTGGGCATGGTGGCAGAGAAGGGTGGGGAGGGGTTGCAGTGAGCCAACATGGTGTCACTGCACTATACCCTGGGCAACAAAGTGAGAAACTGTCTTCTAAAATAAAATGTAAAAAATTAGATAAAATTACCTTCAGGCGACGTTCAAAAGGTGTATATAAAACATATATTGTGTTCAGACCTGGGTTCCAATCCAAGATATTACATTACACAGATGCAAACATTCCAAAATCTGAAAAAAATCTGAAGCCCCAAGCACTTTTGGTCCCAAGCATGATGTTGGATAAGGGACACTCAACCTGTATAATCTGTGAAAACTGGAAATCCTTTCTGGTTTTCATATGGATAATTTCTAAAACGAAGTCAGGAACAGATAGCTGGAAAGTTGAGTTCACACAAGGGGCAGCCTTGGGCCAATACATCTGTTTGGTAATATTCCCTGAAGAGTGGGGAGGAGAGCTTCTAAAATACCAAAATTCAAAGACAAATTCAAAGTACCAACTACCAAAGTTATCATGTTCAAGTAAGATACTAGAATCCAACATTAAATCACAGCCACTTACCTAAATGATCAGCTTTTATAATTTTTTTTTTTTTTTTGGAGATGGAGTCTTACTCTGTCATCCAGGCTGGAGTGCAATGGCACAATCTTGGCTCACTGCAACCTCCGCCTCTTGGGTTCAAGCAATTCTCCCGCCTCAGCCTCCCCAGTAGTTGGGATTACTGGCGTGCACCACTACGCCTGGCTAATTTTTGGATTTTTAGTAGAGATGGGGTTTCACTGTATTGGCCAGGCTGGTCTTGAACTCCTGACCTCAGGTGATCCGCCCACCTCAGCCTCCCAAAGTGCTGGAATTACAGGAGTGAGCCACCACACAGCCTAGAATTTTTATTCTTTCATTTAAAAATCTATGTGATTTCATTCTTTCAACTGATTTTATTTAGATTCACAATAGCACGTTTTTACATAAAAATTGAAAAATACTTGAGTTGATTTTAAACATAAAAACAGACTTAATACATTGATTGAACATACAAAATAAATGACAGGTAGCCCCTATCTCACAAATGATAGGCAGAATAGATTTGTATTGGCCGACGGCAGTGGCTTATGCCTTTAATCCCAGCACTTTGGGAGGCTGAGGTGAGTGGGTCACCTGAGGTCAGGAGTTCAAAACCAGCCTGGCCAACATGGTGAAACCCTGTCTCTACTAAAAGTACAAAAATTAGCCGGGTGTGGTGGTGTATGCCTGTAATCCCAGCTACTTGGGAGGCTGAGGCAGGATAATTGCTTGAACCCAGGAGGTGGAGTTCAAGCACCAAGATGGCACCACTGCACTCCAGCCTAGATGACTAAGTGAAACTATGTCATGCCAAAAAATGATAAAAAAAAAAAAAAAAAAGAATAGATTGTATTTATTCATTTTAACAAAGACTTTTTATAATACATACCTGCATAGAAAGTAATAAATGGTGGTTAGATTCCCAAGCCACTGACAAAAACTCATATATTATATTATATTATATTACCATGTCATATTATATAATTGTAATATAACATTGTATTACCTTCTACTTTTGAACACAACAATTTAATAAACATAATTATAACATTTATATATGATTAATACTGTATTACATGACATCCTGTTTTACTTTTGAACATGACAATTTTGTAAATATATTAAAACAGATGCCAAGCAATAATTCCTAGACTGCTCACAGACAAGGCAGGGCTAGCAGCTCACTGCAGACCTCAGGTGGGAGCCCTTAGGGCAAGTGCAGTAAGCAGCCTTCTACTTGAGGCCCTCTGCAACTCTAGGGTCTGCTCTTTGAACCTCTATGTAGAAAAAGGTGCATCTCTCTTGTGTTCAGGGGTACTGTGACAGGTCTACACAGCGTAAATGCAAAGTACATGAGGAAGGCAGGAGGAGATGGATAACAAGGCAGCAGGGCAGGCAGGGAGCCTGTCTAGCAGCAATACCCATGGAAAAGTGAAGTTCTTCCATCTTGCTATTTATAGTCAAAATGACATAATTACTCAGAGGTCACTGTCAAAGGACAGTAAACATTTAATACCAAATTGGAAAACGGAAAGTTATCTCTAAATAAAACATATGTACCTTTTTGAAAACTTACAAGTTTAGCAGAAAGTAACTATTTTAATAAATTGCTATCTCCATACAATGGAGCACTCTACAGGCAGTTGTAAAATGATAAATGTTTACATTTATTAATATGGAAAGATGTCCATATTAATTAAAAAATAAGTTAAAAAATGTATAGGGAGTTGTTCTTATCCAAATACAACTAGCAAAACCTTAACAGTAAACTCACCTAAAATAAAGACCGAACTTTTGTAAGTGGATAAAAGATTACTTTCATGGAATTTTATTTTAGAAATAAAACTTGAAATTACATATCTGCTTTACTTTATATGCAACAAAATTTGGTTACAAATGTAATTATGTGCTCTTTCAAAGAACTAATAAAAAATGAATGCTGCAAAATTGTTCAGGTGAAGTATACAATCATTTACCCTGCTGTCACAGAACATTTACAAAGAGCAATTCTGGAATTTAAAAAAAAGAAAAAACCAAGGACATCTTCAAATTTCCCAAGGGCCACTCTTAACCTTCTGCTATTAATATCGTTCCAGTTTGAAGCATCAATCATGTCCCTTATTCAAATCAATTTTTTTTATCTTCAACCATTCTTCTGATCTAATTCTGCCATATCCCCTCATGTCAATAGCTCTGAAAATCAACCCACTTTTCAACGTCGCATTGTTTCTTGAAATTCTGCATCTTTTGCAAAATTTGCAATTCCACGTTATAAAAAATTCAACTTTCAGATATTTCATTAGAGAATGCCAAACCTGAATATGACTTATGCCTGTAAATGCAGGAGGGTTTGTTATTTCATTATTAAATTGTGTTATAAAGATCTGGCTTCCATATCTAATCCTATTGCTGCTATAGTTCAGAAAATGAATAGCTGATTATTAAGAACTCATATAATTAAGGCCATTTCTATTATAAAACTTTTGAGTTTGGTGAGATTTTGCAAGTGCCATGCAATACTTAGAAGTAAACAGAAATATGTATAGATGTACAGCTTTTTTGTTTAATTGAGACAAGGTCTCTCGCTCTGTTGCCCAGTTTCGAGTGTAGTGGTAGGATCACAGCTCACTGCAGCTTTGACCTCTGAGGCTCAAGCCATTTTTCTACTTCAGGCACACTCGAGTAGCTAGGACTTACAGTGTGCACCACCATGCCCAGCTCAATTTTTTATTTATTGTAGAGGCAGGATCTCATCACATTGTCCAAGCTGGTCTCAAACTCTTGGCCTGAAGTGATCTTCCTGCCTTTGCCTCCCAAAGTGCTGAGACTTGGTATGAGCCACCTCGCCTGGCCTATAGAGCTGCATATACATATATTTTTTGAGACAGAGTCTCACTCTGTTGGCAGGCTGGAGTGCAGTGGCGCAATCCCAGCTCATGGCAACCTTCAACTCTCTGGTTCAAGTGATTCTCCTGCCTGAGCCTCCTGGAGTAGCTGGGATTACAGCCACGTGCCACCATACCCAGCTAATTTTTACATTTTTAATAGAGACGGGGTTGTACCATGTTTACCAGGATGGTCTCAATATCCTGGCCTTGTGATCCACCTCACCTGGCCTCTGCTATTTTCTTTTTAAGTTACAATTTTCTAAACTACATAAACCATACAGAGAAAGCATGAACAGTTGGTCATGACAAAACATAACAATGCTACTTTTAGTACCTGGAGAAGACATGGATGCCAGTTGGTGTTTACACTGTGTCTTCTGAGAAGAGAGCATTGCACAGCCCACATAAAGAGCTTGGGTCTGCAGCGCTGTTTTCACATTGCAGTTAAGTGGATTTGAAAGGCTAGAACCATAGGTCCATAAAACAGAAAAAAACTTGAATAACTGAAAAACATCTTGTAGATGTACCTAATTACAAAAAAAAGATAGTAAAGTTTTAATTCTTACTCAAATAAGTTGGTTCCAAATCCTCTTTTGACTAGTGTACAACTACAAAGAAACAAATAATGCAATGCAATGTTTTGCTCTAATTATTTCAAATTATTCTATATTTCAGGTTTTAAACAACTGGCACAGATGTCAATGGAGAGTGATATTCCGAAGCTTCACTCTAACTTTGCACTTGAAAACACTGAGAACCAAGACAAGAGTATTATCTAGGATGCCTAATTAAGAAAATACTTCAACAATGTAGTGAACAATGCCAACTCAATGTCAAATGCTGTAGAGAGAACAAGTCAGACAAGAACAGCAACTGATCGCTGGGCCCAGCAACATGGAGGGCACTGGGACTGGGGATGAAATTTCCCGAGTAATTTCACATGTGCTAAATAACCTCTCTGAACACCAGTGTTCACATTTTTAAATGGTAGTGACCAATCAAAAAGTCTGGGCTGTTGTGATTTTTAAATATAGTAATGGGCCTAACATGTTAGTAGGAGTGTAGTAATGTCAGTTTCTGTTCAACCTGCCGATGAGTACTGTGATGATAGTACCCTTTTACAGGGCCCGTGCTCACTATTATATACTCTTCGCTGCTTACAAGTCTACTTTCATTTTCATTATAAACTGTCCAAACTCAACCCACAGTATCGTCTTTTTTTATTTTGAGACAGAGTCTTACTCGGTCACCCAGGCTGAAGTGCAGTGGTGCAATCTCGGCTCACCACAGCCTCCACCTCCCGAGTTCAAGTGATTCTGCTGCCTCAGCCTCCCGAGTAGCTGGGATTACAGGTGCATGCCACCACGCCCAGCTAATTTTTGTATTTTTAGTAGAGACGGGGTTTTACCATGTTGGCCAGGCTCGTCTCAAAATCCTGACCTCAAGTGATCTGCCTGCCTTGACCTCCCAAAGTGCTGAGATTACAGGCGTGAGCCTCAGCCAGTCATATCTTCTTTAAGGGGAGAGAACACCTGGAAAGCATGAGCCTTGTACCTTTATGAAAAGTTTCATCAGAACCCTGAAATGAACAGCGTCGGCACCATTGAGCATCATCTCAAAGAGTCCAATAAGCAAGTGCAGATAGTCCCTGCTGTCTTCTTTCAGTTGTTCAGGATTCCACCATATATCACCTACATGGACATGGAAAGAAAAAGGATACACAACCCTACGTGAACATGCCAGGAGCTTTTTATTCAAGACAAACAATCACTGTGGAGTCAATAATTCAGTTTTGCAGAGTATCACATTTAAAAGAGTCACAGCTTGTATCTTACCTTTAGGAAAAGACTTAGGAGCTTTCAGGGCATACATAAAATTTTTCAGGGAAAATACAAGTAAAACAGAGTCCTCCACGGCCACCCTCTGGGTGGTGTTGAGCTCTTCCACATAATGTGCCCACAGCTCCACTGGTATCCCTCTGTCTAGCATCAGTTCAATGTGCCATTCTGAGGGGATCTCCTGAAAAGTGAAGGGAAACAAAAACTAGTATAAATGAAGGGTTCTGAACATGGGTTATACGGGTAAACTGCAATGGATACATGAATTCCTCTGCGTAACATACGAAACTTTTGTTTATGTGTGCATTTTGGTGGGGAAAGGAGTAACAGAACTGCTTTCGTCAGATTTTTAAAGAGATCTATCGCTACTCCCAAGGAAAGACAAAGATTAAGTTAAATTTTCTGTCTTACCTTAAAACACTACCTCTAAAAACAAACTTTATTCATATAAACTGTCTATCAAATAAAGGGTAGGAATAAGTAGGCATCTTTCTTTCTTTTTTTTTGAGATGGAGTCTTGCTCTGTCACCCAGGCTGGAGTGCAGTGGCACAATCTCCACTCACTGCAATCTCTGCCTCCCAGGTTCAAGCAATTCTCCTGCCTCAGCCTTACAAGTTGCTAGGAATACAGGCGTGTGCCATCATGCCAGGCTAATTTTTGCATCTTTAGTAGAGACGGGGTTTCACCATGTTGGCCAGGTTGGTCTCAAATTCCCGATCTCAGGTGATCCACCTGCTTTGGCCTCCCAGAATACTGTGATTACAAGGATGTAAGCTACTGCGCTTGGCCAAAATAGGCATATTTCAAAACAGGAAGATAAAAGAGTTGGATTCCCAAGACATCGTTAAAGGGACTTCCTTCATTTCACGGTTTTACCACTAATCTGAATAAGGTACCCGGTAAAATTTCCAAACCTGCAGATGATTTTAAATAAGCAGTAGAATGTTAGGTGTTTAGTAATTATACGGCAAATGCCAAAAGAATGCAGAAGAACAGCTATAAGAAAATGACAAATGTGACTCCATACAACCAGTACAGAGTAATAACTTAGAAGGAAAATAATCCAAAGCCAGATTTATAATGTAATGTCTCCAGTGAGGGATTTAATTAACTCAATGTGCTACTACAGGCGAAAATATGCTCATGACCTCAAGAAAGGGTATTAAAAGTAAAGCAATATAAAATAACCTGTTATCTAAATATGTATAATAAAACAATCAATTTGTCTAAACTTTTAACACAGAGAACCAGTATAGTTCAGGTCATCACGTTTCACAAAAGGCACAAAGAAATGAAGTTAAGAAGGGTCTATCTGGGCTAGTTTTCAAACTGAAAACTAAAGTTTTCAAAATATGAAGACTTTACTCTTTTTAAAGCTTAGAGATTTTAGCTAATAATGGTCATGATCAGAACTTATAAAATCCTGGGGGTACATGTAAATGTGAAAAAGATATAATTCATTTAGTGAATCCTATAATGAGAAGCCCTCTAAAATTTTGGGGACAAATAAAAACAAAATCCTATTACATATAGCAGATATTTAAAAAACTGTCTTGCTACCTCAAGATTTATCATGAAGTAAAAATGCAAACAGCTGAAACAAGTCCCTTAGTAATACTATCAAAGACAGTAGTATGATGGAGGGATACAAATCTATGTAATATTAAAATTTTATAAAGCTGAAAAGATCTATTTTTAGTAAACAATTGAATGAAATAGTATTTTGTTCAGGCACTGACACACCAAGTGAATTCTTCATCACTAGAGGTAGTTAGGTGTAGCTCGGGTAATTATCCAATAAAGGTAACAAGAAGGAGTCAGGCATTAGATACAAAATACTGCAACCCTGAAGTTTTATAATTCAACTAAATTTTCTGTAAAAAGCAAGGGGGTGCCTAATTGACTATCCCACTGCTACCCAAGACTGCTTCACATTTCATCCAGTTGGTATCCACAGACTCAACATCTCGCCTCTAATTTTCAGTTTTGCTGTGACTAATAGGCCAGGCTCTTGCTTTATTCAACATCCCACTTTCTGGAGACTGCTTTCCTTACCACTGCGGTAATGACATTTTCAAGTTTCTTTATTTTTTTCTGCAACAAACTGAAGACTCTTATTGCAAATGGAAAGTGGGTTTCTTTCAAAGATGAGTAACAACAGGAGACGAGCACAGACATGATCACGTGAAATGTCACTTTCTGCTTCAGGTTAAAGGACTCCTTCTCACCCATGCTTATTAAATCCTCCACCTGGAAAAATAAATACACTCTATTATTAGTTGCTCTTGATTTTCATAAAACAATGTTTTCAGCTCAGGTCTATCTAGGTATGATGTGTTTTACACTTAAAGTGAGATGACACCTATAAAGCCTTTATGAAGTATTAAGTACTGATTTCTAAGTAATTGTAAGAATAACTTCAGAAATTGTAATGAACATACTTGCACTTGCCAACCGGTTAATGTATTTAAAGCACACATCTAATACCTTTACAAATGTTTATTTCGTAAGGCAAAAATAATTTTCTCCTCTTTTGGATTGTATTTTGCTATTTTAACATAAGACTGATATTTTAAACGGGAATGGGAGAAAATGGCAGTAAAAAGGATATATTATTCCTACGGCTGTGATATGGATCCACATTGAAAAAATAGATAAAATGTTAAAGATGTCAAACATTGCACAAAATATATTAAACAACACTGTAATGTTTAAAGTAAAACCAAGTATTCGAGAATGAAAAAAAATTTTTTTTTAAAAGAAAAATCTAGTGAAGCAAATGCTGAGAATTTATAAGAGTATCCAGGGAGAGGACTTTCATGGCATACTCACCACATTTAACATTGAAGACGGATCTCCTAAATTTATATTATCAGCCAATAACTCAATCATCTTCTTATTTGCTACACCGATTAGTTTCCCTGGCTTTGTGCTTTTAATCACATTTTCGAGAGCTGTAAAGTAAAATTGAATACAGAGAGCTCTATGTCACCAACACTTCAAGAATCATGAAGAATTCAGGCAAACATTTTACAACTGTTTATGAAGGTTTGCTTTTTATTTTTCCTTGTATCCAATTCTGAATTTGTCTATCAGTGAGTTAGCTTCCTTTACATTGTATATTTTTTATTTTGGTAAAAATTTTAAAAGATCTTACTGGCATATGACAGGACAAACAATAAATTTTACATTTTCTTTGTTTTCTTTTGTGTTACCTGTTCACTTTTTCTAAAAACAACTAAATTTCTTACCTTCTTCCCAGCCTCTTAATAGAGGGTGCAGAGAGCAGATTCCTGATTTTGATAAATATATAGCAATTTTCATCTCAGCAGATTCCATATCATCATTATTGATGACCATAAATGGCAATAAATGTATAACCACCTGATTTGACAACTGAAAATTTTCACTCAGTATCTCTTCTTTAATTAATATGTCAGCTGCTATCTTAAGTACCTTGTACCTAAAAGACATGCAAGCACATTTAATTGAAAGACAAATTAATCATTACATTATTACAGCTTAGCTGACAATATCCTGGTCTCCTGATCAAAAATAATATTCAGACACACTAAGACACCACTTAAAATCCATGCCAATAACAGAGTTATCTGTGACAATACATTTATTATGTTTTTGTACAAGTGCTGGGATCATAGGCACGAGCCATGCTGCCTGGCCAAAAATACTTTTAATCTGCTCCTCCTGTCTAATCTTAAAAAAAAAAAATTCTTAGAGAAATCACTAGAGGTTAACTATAACATAAAACATATCACACTAGATATCTCAACCCCACTGGAAATCAGATTCACTCAGGCATTAGAAAAACAAATGAACCAAGCACATCCTACATGATGGATATCTACCCATATGATGGATACAAAAATATGTAAGACACTCTCATCCTCTATAGAGCTTACCGACTTTTTCTTGCAAAAAGCTTTGATGCCAAAAATGAAACAACTAGAGCTTACTATGTACTTACTACAGATGGTATCATGTGTCTCTGAACTTATTTTTTAATTTGTTTAATATATTGATGTTTGTTTTTAATTATAAAGTAAAAATTATATAAAATTATATAAAGTAGAAAATTAGAAAGTACTTCCCATCTTACTTCCCAGAATTCAGTATCACATATTATATACTTCCTTTTGTATTTTATTAAGGGAAATTCCAAACATACAGAACAGTATAATGAACATACACACATTCAAATTAATCAACTATATAATGAAAGAGCATTACATTAAGATCTGTTCTACTACCACAACAAAAGGATCATGTATCCAGAAAGAGTTTGACACAAGAACTTCATCAATTCAAAACAGGAGAAGAAATCAATACATACCATTCTCTGTTCTTTGAAAGTTCTGCTCTTTGAAAGAGATTCAGAAGATTTGAAATCGTCGCTTCTGAACTAAAGTGTTCTTTGAAAATCTAAAGGTTAAAAAAAAAAATCCATGAGTACATTTATACTTGCTTCAAACACGTATGGTGCTTTTTAAACGCAAATTTTAAAAAGAATGAATTATAAGAAACTTTTCCCAAGAATCCTAGTACAACTTAGAAGTTTTAAGATCTGTTTCTCAAAAGTGGCATTCATAAGATAATTTGCATTGGTTCCAAGGTATTTGCTATTGATAAAAATATGTTAAAAGCAATACAAAAATTCACAAAGCATGTTTCCTATATTATTAAATACATATACTTAATATATCAAACTGTAAATTCCTATGAGTTCCTCCTAACTAGACTTAAGTCTTTACTGTCAAGAGAACAAATTTCCCATGGAAGTTTCCAAAAATATTCTAATCTCAAGCAGAGAATCAAGTGAGAAGGGCAAGAACATTTATAAAATTGTATAGCTCAACAAATGGCAAATTCACTCACCTCAAAAGCACTTACTGCCGCCAAAACAACATCTATATCATCATCACCTAATCGGGCTAAAACAGCTTCTTTTATGAAAGACTCATCAACACCCTCCTGAGCAATAAAAGGAAAAATTAGTTTATCTGTTGCTAAAAACCTCTTAAGGCTTTGCACTAGAAAGGAAGTATGGTTGTGTGAAAAACACTCCAGAATAACAGTCTAACACAGGCTCTGCTCTGGATGAGAATTCAAATATTCTAGAACTACATAATCTCTAAAGGGCCTTTTGAGATTAATAATTGGTACAAATCTTTTTCAAGTTTTCACTGAAAATACAGTAAATATGTATACTCCAAACAGAGTTTTTGTAATTAAGGAGTTCATCTTATTAAAATGAGAGCCCAGATATTGACAGTGCATAGACTAAAGAACAAGAATATCTCATTTAAATCCCAGCTCTACCACTTATTAGCTGTGTGACTTTGGTCAAGTTACTTAACCTTTCTGGATCTCACTAGTCTCACCTATAAAACAGTTTTGCTAATAGTAACACCTACCCTCAAAGGGTTGTTAGAAGATTAAAAAAAAAAGTCAGACTGTAGCATAGTGCTTTACACATAAGTACTGTTAAAAAAGGCTAGCTAGCATTATCTAAAGTTTTACAAGGGATAAGGATATGTACTACAAAGCCAGTCTGCCAAAACTAGAGATCATTTTTTAAATATAACAAATAAAAAATATATAATCATTCACAGAAAAGGAAAAATATATATCCCTACCCGTATGTGGCAGGAAAGAAAGCAACTAAATAATATAAAAAATATAGGTCACTCTATTGGGAGAAAAATGAAAATTCTTAGAATTCACAAAAATTAAGTTAGTTAGGCACAGTGGTATGTGCCTAAAATCCCAGCTACTCTAGAGGCTGAGGTGGGAGGACTGCTTACGCCCAGGAGTTTGAGGTCAGCCTAGATAACACAGCAAGACACCATCATTTAAAAAAATCCTCAAGAGCTGTAAGTAGCTAGATACCTGAACCTGGAATTTAGAATAAAACCTATGACTTGTCATTGATGGAGAAGAGACAATGAAACCTGGTACACAAAGGAAGACGTGAACGGCAATTACAATACTCAATCCTGTATGCTGAACATATACTGGGCCCTTCACTGAAACACTAACCAAATCCAGACAGCAGGTGAGACAGGCAGTGGGAGCAAAGGATGAGAAAAGCTTCAGAAACAGAAGATTCCAGGACTCCCTTTTATTCTAGAAGAATTTCCTATCACTGAAATCTTCCTATCACAATGAAGAGTATTATTCAATGAATTTATTTAACACATCAACAAAATAAACCTATTGGCAGTTTATGAAAGCAGAACTCATACCAGATCAAATAAAGCAACATTTCTCAAACCTGAATATTACATCAGCCATTTTTAAAGAAATATTCTCAAAGATCTAAATGTTATTTAAATTGTTTACATATCAATCCAAAATTAAATATAACTCCTTAAAATATAGAAACAAATATATGATATAAAATATAAAAACAAATTTTTTTAATCTACAAGGGAAATACTACAAACGCTATAAAACCGATAAAATTCAAATGAAGATGAATTCAGGGTGATTAATTGTAATTAGCTGAAATTAAACTTTACTGATCATATGAATTTACTTGTAATATGAATCTGGTTCTAATTGCGATGACACAAGTTCTAGAGTTTTGTTTTTATACTGCCATGTGCTGCAAGGAAACTAAACTCTGTCACCACTTTTCTCTACTCCAGAAATTTCTCAAATATGCAAATCCTGGTATTACACAGATGGAGCATTCCTATTTTAATTATAGTAACTATAGTAAAATGTATGTACAATTAGCACTTCACAACCACAATCTGAAGGCTATGGAGTCCATCTGAAACAAAGAAAAATTTTGAGAAAATAACACTATCAGTGGTAATTTATAATTTACCAAAAGTTGTACAGGTACTGCTTGAGTGACTAAAATTTGGAAACTACTATTCCATTTGAATCCCTGCCGAGTCTTCATACCAATGCCTTTTGGTATAGATGCAAATTACACCAAATTATTTACAAATAAAATCAGCCTCAATACATATTTGAAGCCACTAAAATTTTAAAGACAACTGAAACTGCAGGCACCAAAATCATGGAAGTGTTCAAAAGTTATCATTCAAATGTCCCAAAATTAAGACTATCAAAATCAAATTTTATTTATTCATTTATTTGTTTTTGAAACAGGGTCTTGCCCTGTCACCCAGGTTAGAGAGCAGTGGCGTGATCATGGCTTGCTGCACCCTCAACCTCCCAGGCCTAAGAGATCCTCCTACCTCAGCCTCTCAAGTAGCTGGGACCACAAGCATGTACCCCCAAACTTGGCTAAGTTTTTCTTTTTTAATTTTTTATACAGAAGGAGGTCCCCCTATGTGGCCCAGGCTGGTCTCAAACTTTTGGGCTCAAGTGATACTTCTCCCAAAGTATTGGGATTACAGGCATGAGCTGCTGTGATGAGCCCAAAATCAAATTTCAAAACTAAAAGAATTCACAAATAATGAACCTATGTGAATTAATCTACAATTTCCAGTTTGAAAAACACTAAAGATAAATAATTTTCAATGTGGAAACATAATAACCATTGTTATTCGGTGACTGTTAAAATGGGGACTACTGGCATACACAGTCCTAAATATTAGTCTAAAGTAATCTCGTGAGCTTTATACAGCTCATCTGTATAATTATACACTAACAATTCTAGGTAGTAACTTTAATTTCTTACTCAGAATTACACTCCTCATCATCAGGAAAAACAAATCATACATGAAAGCTATCCAAAACAAACCTTTGATGTTTTCATGATATTTTTCAAATGATTAATGGCCAGAAGTCTCACAGGACCAAGTGGATGATTCAGACTGAGCATCAAAGAAGTATCCGAATCTGCTAAAAACTATAGGGTTCATTCATAATTATCAAATGATTTCACTTAATCTGAACAGTCTATAATCAAGAACAAGACCCAGACATAACCACCCCACATTGCCCAATGTTTCAGTAACAACCTTCTAACCACAGAAAACAAAAAAAGGCAAAATATTTGTTTCTAGAACATTATATGAATTGCAGTAGATGAAAAAAGTTTATATCGTTAATGGTATGATTTCACGTATACTTGTGCCTATGTGTAGGTTTAATTTAGTGAAGTAATTCTACAAAGTAATTCTGTATTTTTATGCACATCTGATTCCAAAGTAAAGAGCATCTAAGATAAATCACTGTTTTAACACCTCCTGGAAGACAGAATGCAACACATCTAAAAGACGTAACAAATACCGACACTCAAATTAGTGACAACTTAGTTCACTCACACAATGTGACTAAAAAGCAACTCTACCAACCTAAGATTTGGAAAAGCAGCACCACTGAAAATGAAAGTCTAATTATGGAAAAGAAATACTAAAGCAATCATATTTCTCTCCATAATTATGTTTTTAAGGCCAATTACAAGAACTTCTGCTTAAATGACTAACCTCTTTCTATAAAGCTTTAGGCTTGAATCACCAGAAAATTTCTGAAGTTTTAACATGGTCATGAAATAGAACCAATCTCCCCCTTGCTAATCAGTAATATAGATAGCCATATGTGGCTGGTACACAGGAAAGCATGGAGCTACAGGCAAGACAGAGAACACTAGAAACCTACATGAGGCTGTCCTTTGATGATTCTTAATGAATACCCCATATAAAATACCCAAAAAATAATACTTTTCCTGAAATAAGTATCACATTCATAGTTATGTACAAATTATTGTACCTTTCTCCAATTATTCTATTCCTGCCTCAGAGCCGTACTTCAGACAACTAGGCAAACTGTATAAGGTCATCTCTGTGAAATTTTCCACATAAAAGAAAGAAGTGGCAAATTTCCTTCTGAAACTCTTCATATAACCATACAAATGTACCCCAAACTGTCATCGTTCTTTTGGAGAACAACATACCTGATATTTTCCTCCACTTGTAGAAAGGGAAACAAACTGGTGAAAAAGCTCTTGTTTTTTCAGGTCTGCAATTTCCTTTAGGTGTTCCTCCAATACAACGTCTAATGTTCTGGGGTATCTGGGAAGCAATTAAAGAGTGAATTCATTATTCTTAATATTAATCTCATAGACCATATGTCTATAAAGACATAACATTTTAAAAATTACTGACAATGTAACTTAAATTTTAACAAATGTTATATGTAAAACCTAATGTCATTGGTCAACTTTGTTACTCTGACTACTCCAATAACAAAATAGTCTCTCGATAAAAAATTATACTCTCCATAGCCCCCACACAACCACTATTTCCTCTTATATTTCAAATATTTTTGATTATGATACTGGCCCCTTCTTGAAGAAGAAATTTAAAAAGGACACTCTCTGTACAATTCAGTATATGAAGATGTGACTTGTGAATCATATCTTTATAGCACAGGAAGTACTTTGGAAGAGGATAAACATACATGCATAACTTACCTGCTTTCTAAAAGCCTAATGAGTGGAAGAAACTGTTCATTAAGCAAAGACACTTTATCAGAATCCATTTCTTCCTGTGAACTATATGAAATATACTCTTCAAATAGAAGGCTGTAAAAAAAAAAACCCCAGAAATATCAGTACACATAAGAGTTGCTATTCACTGAGTACCTACTATATTCTAAGTGCTTTAGAAATATTATCTCTAATTGTCTACTTATACAAGGTGTAGAATAATACTTATTTTACAGATAAAGAAATAGGGGCCTAGTATAATGGTTCATGCCACTGGCATTACAATCCCAGCACTTCTGGAGGCCGGGGTGGGAGGACTGCTTGAGGTCAGGAGTTCAAGACCTGTCTGGAGAACACAGCAAGCCCACACTGCTATTTAAAAACTTAAAAAAAAAAAAAAAGGAAAAGAAAAGAAACTAGGGTATAAAAAGTCCTCCAATTTGCTTGTGAGAACCAACACTCAGTGACCCTTTTGTGCCATAAAGAGTGGGGTTTCACATTTTAAGCCCCAGCCTGATACTAGAGCCTACGTTCTCAACATTACTTCATGTGTCGACTCTCCTGTAATCCACAAACCCAACCTCTGAGCAAAGGGGCATGAATGAAGCACACCAATAGACAGGTACCCTCTTGATGCTACAAACTGGCAAGGCCACTTCCAGTCTAACCTCCAGAACTTAGTATACACTTGGAAGTGGTAAGGGCTGAATTTACACCTCTGTCTGACTGTAATGCCTACTTTCTTTTCACTGCATCAAGTTGCCCATTAGGAAAAAAAAAACTGAATTATCTTTACAGTAAAGAAATATTCCAGCCAGGTATGGTGGCTCATGCCTGTAATCCCAGCACTTTGGGAGGTGGGTGGAACACTTGAGGTCGGGAGCTTGAGACCATCCTGGCCAAAATGCTAAAACCCCATCTCTACTATAAATACAAAACTTAGCTGGGCTAAGTTAGCACCCCTGTAGTTCCAGCTACTCGGGAGGCTGAGGCAGGAGAATTGCTTGAATCCGGGAGGCAGAGGTTGCAATGAGCTGAGATTGCACCACCGCACTCCAGCTTGGCGACAGAGTAAGACTCCATCTCAGAAAAAAAAAGATTAAATAAAAGAAATAATCCTTACTCTATGCCTACCTTCAATATTAAGCTTCTAAATGACATTTACTGCGTTTTCAACTGTGATGTACTACTTCAAATATTATGTCCGTTTACTAATAGAAAACTTCAAACAGCCAAACTGCGTTTAGTTATTACCCAAATTTAGCTTAACCATTAACTTTCCATTTTCATCTATAAGCATTAAAAACATGCAAAAACAATTAGTTTTGCTTTTAAGGCTACCAGTTATTGGATTAAGTAATTATAGTTAATGAAATGATACAGACAAAGCAAAATATACATTAAAAAGGAATAGCAAGAAATTTCTAACCAATCTTGAAAATGACACTGAGTCACAGAAATGGAAATCAAAAGCACATCAGAGATAACAGCTTACCTAGCCAACAAATGGTCTAAGTTGTACATCAGTGATATTCTTGTAAGTATAGCTTCTAAGTGGCTCTTGTAGATTTGACCATCTATCCCTTCAGTTTCTTCTCCTTAATAGGGATAAAATTAAAACTGGGTTGGGAAAAATTTATTTTGTAAGCTAACATTATTAAATTTCACTTATAGCAGAAAATCTTTCTTAGAATAAAACATGCACACTGATAGGCAGCTTTTTATCTATTTCCAGAAGTGCATTCCATTTATTTATATTTTTCACAGCTTTTTTGTATAGATCATCCTTCATTTGCTTTTTATCTGAATTCTCTATTTTTAACAAGTATTATCATGCTTATAACAATAATAAAACAAAAGTCCAAAATTAGTCTTTCACCAGGTCATATAACAAATTAGTTGTGATAGCCCCAATCAGCTATCCCTGAACCCTTTACTGGAGCAAGAGCTGGCATCTAACTTTCATCTCAGTACCTACCTTTACTGGAGCAAGAGCTGGCATCTAACTTTCATCTCAGTACCTACCTTTACTGGAGCAAGAGCTGGCATCTAACTTTCATCTCAGTACCTACCTTTACTGGAGCAAGAGCTGGCATCTAACTTTCATCTCAGTACCTACCTTTACTGGAGCAAGAGCTGGCATCTAACTTTCATCTCAGTACCTACCTTTACTGGAGCAAGAGCTGGCATCTAACTTTCATCTCAGTACCTACCTTTACTGGAGCAAGAGCTGGCATCTAACTTTCATCTCAGTACCTACCCTTTACTGGAGCAAGAGCTGGCATCATCTAACTTTCATCTCAGTACCTACCCTTTACTGGAGCAAGAGCTGGCATCTATTTCAGATTTATAATAAACGTAAGAATCTGATGTTAGCTCTTGCTTTCAAACACTGGAACATCACTCATTACCTTCAGAATAGGAAGAAAACATTTTCATTTATGCTAGTCATTTTTCTAAAATGTATATTTAAACCAATATTTGATTATGAAAACCTTATTTTCCAGCAGTCTGACCGAAGTTTAGAGAAGTCTTTCCTAGTATTCTCCAAGTAGGAATAGAACCAAGTGTTTCTTCCTAGTCTTTTTATATTTATTAAAAGATGTAATGCCAGCAATCATTCTAATGATGATGATGATGATGATGATGATGATGAGATACAGTTTCATTCTCTCACCCAGGCTGAAATGCAGTGGCGCAAACACAGCTCACTGTAGCCTCGAACTCCCTGGGCTCAGATGATCCTCCCACCTCAGTCTCCTGAGCAGCTGAGACCATGGGTGCATATCACCATGCCGGGTTAATTTTTATATAGTTTTGTAGAGACAAGGTTTTGCCATGTTGCCTAGCTGGTCTTGAACTCCTGAGCTCAAGTGATCTGCCCGTCTCAGTTTCTGAAAGTGCTAGGATTACATGTTTGAGCCACCTAGCTGTCTAATTATTATTTTTTACTTTGTTTCATAATTTGGATTTTTATATATAAAAATTTTATTGGTCTTAAATTTTAATTACTCTAGGGAGAAAAACTTTTTTGGCAACTGGATATTTATTGTAAATCAATCACTAAAGTTCATTAAATTCCTAAATGAGAAGGCAAAGGTTTACTCGGTAAAAAATTTTTAAATTATTCCAGTCTTTTTCATGTAACAACTATTTAAGAACTTGTTCTAAGAAACCACTCAATTAACAAGGATCTCTCTTCAACCAACCTGCTCCCCACCCCAAATGTTTTTCACTTAATACACAAGTTACACAAAAACAACTGGAAAACAGAAATTTCCAATATTTTAAAGCTGTTAACCAGGACACGGTTACTATCTTAAGATCAAATCTTAGAATGTTTCTGGACAAAAAATATAAAACCACATACCTGTAACATGATGAATGATGGAGACAACCAGATGGGGAAGCATGTAACGCAGAAGCGGACTGACATCGTAGGTTTCAGAAATCCCATGAAGTATTGTAATAAGATCAGGAACATTACACAAATGAAGGAATGGCCTTTGAAGAAGCAAAAGTACATTATCATGTTGACTTTACAAGTCAGACAATCAGTGACAATATTTAAAAATATATATAATCACTTATCTTACAAAAATAATTGTATTCACTTCTGACTAGCACCATTTCTCAATTCAGTTGTACATACTTTTTGCCAAGGCTTTCTGGCTTCTGTCTCTGCAGGAGTACTATCAAGCAACTTAATCCATCCTTGATCAAAGAGGGAATCTTGGTCAATGTTTTGATGATCTGTGACACCAATGAATTCACAAAGGTATCTTCCATTGTCACTTTCACAGAAATCTGACATATTATCATATATGTTGCAGCTCTGTAATCTGGTAAAGATGATTTCAATCCCTAAATATTTTTTAAATATAAGGAAACATGATAAGCTATATTATTTTCTTTTTAAAATGTTAATCTGACAAATTAGAAATGTCGTAAGTTAGAGATTAATCCAACCTAATACATAGTCAGCCAGTCTTCAGACATAAATAAAGGAGTTGACCCTTTTTTCAGAGTGGATAAAGAGATGAGACAAGTCTGTTGGATGAAACAAAGGATCTCAGAAAATTTTCCAACTCAAAATATCTACCATGTGTCTTAACAGGAGCCAGTAAGCTCTTCTTTTATATGTAAAAACCTACTTATGGAAGGGAGACCTCAATCCGATCACTAATGGAAGAAAAATGTCTGATGAAAGATAACAAGTTGAGACCATGGTGGGAAGTAAAAGCAGTATCTCCATGGGGAACCTGGGAAGGCAGCAGGCAACAAGACACTCAGGAAAGAAAAACACTGAGATGTAGGAGCCAGTGCACAAAGAATGCTGAGAGGCTGCTTCTGCCCCGAAGACAGTCTACTCCATCCTCCTTCCAGTAAGGAAAAAAGACTGCGATGAAAATCAATCTAGGAGATGATGGCAGGGCCAGACAGCCAATATTTTTTTTTTTTTTGAGATGGAGTTTCGCTCTTGTTACCCAGGCTGGAGTGCAATGGCGCGATCTCGGCTCACTGCAACCTCCGCTTCCTGGGTTCAGGCGATTCTCCTGCCTCAGCCTCCCGAGTAGCTGGGATTACAGGCACACGGCACCATGCCCAGCTACTTTTTTTAATATTTTTAGTAGAGACGGGGTTTCACCATGTTGACCAGGATGGTCTCAATCTCTTGACCTCGTGATCCACCCGCCTCGGCCTCCCAAAGTGCCAATATTTATTTTTAAGAGTCCTAATTAAGGTCCCACTCTGGTGAGTAATACAAAAGTGTCATATTTTCAACCTAAAAGTTAAATTTCATCAATCACCTGAAATACACTGTCAATTTAAAAATGCTAAAATCTAAAAAAAAGTTCAAAAGCAAGAAAATTCCTTTAAGTGCAAAATAATCTACTTAACACATCAGCTGTGCCAACCTTTTGGATATAGGGAAATAATTTGGCGATGATATTGTCTGATACGTCTTCCGCAGCTACCAGCGCCGACACCATGGTAGAAGCATAGAAAGCCAAGAGCACCCTCAACTGAGCTGAGCTGCCCGGGTACTCAGCAAAAACCTGAAACAAGGAACACAAACACATGTAACAGTGAAAGGGAGGTAGGAGGACTGCTTGAGGCCAGGAGTTTGAGGCTGAGACTTCAGTGAACTATGATGGCACCACTGTACTCTAGCCTGCGTGACAGAGCAAGACCATGTCTCCAAAAAAAAAAAAAAAAAAAAAAAAAAAGAAAAGAAAAGTGAAAGAGGCCAAATAAATATTTACAGCTCTCCTAAACTACCATATGAAATGCTTAATACGTACACAATGTGAAAGAATGAACTAATATTCCTAACATATTAATTTAAAAACTTTTTTTTTTTTTTGAGACAGTCTCGGTCTGTCACCCAGGCCTGATCTCGGCTCACTGCAACCTCCCCCTCCCAGGTTCAAGCTATTCTCCTGCGTCTGCCTCCCAAGTAGCTGGGAGTACAAGCACATGCCACCATGCCCAGCTTATTTTCATATTTTTAGTAGAGACGGTGTTTCACCATGTTGGTCAGGATCGTTCCGAACTCCCAACCTCAAGTGATCCACCTGCCTCAGCTTCCCCAAAAGTACTGGGATTACAGGCATGAGCCACTGCATCCAGCCTTAAAAATTTTTAAACAGCTTTCCCAGGTTGAATATTCCTGACGTTTCTAGACAGTCTCTTCAAACAGTCACTGTAACTAGAATTTGGCAAGGAACAGACATTTATTTTTGTAGAAAACACCTTTGGAAAAAAACAAAACAAAACGAAACAAAAAAAGCTGATTCTCTAACTGCTCCCGCTTCAAAACACCAGACCATTTAACAAAATAAAAGTACTATTCTTATTAGGTAAGGCTTTAGTGTGTTTTCTTCATTCAAAGCAAGCAATTTTTTCGTAAAATTATATACTCATGAAACAATATACTGCTCACCTTCACAGATTTTGTCACCAAACTACAAATGAAATCCATGAATCCAAGGTCTTTGTAGCAGTGGGTAATCAAAGTTCCTTTAGCTAAGGGCACTCCAGATTGCTATTATTAATGGAAAGAACAAACTATTAGCAACATCCATCAACTAATCCTTATTTTAAAGTATTTACCCCAGTAATCTCTTCATACTGCTATAGTTCATAAATCAAAAACATAATCTCTCCTTGTAACTGGTGGAGGTGATGAAATTAACACATAAAATTATGGGAACTTAGAAATTCAAGAGAAGGTCTGCAATGAGGGCAGAGGTATTTCGTGGAAAATGTTTGCTTATCATATGGCACATTTTGAAAGGTACTTATCAAAATCTGTTTCTCTAGATTCTTAGTAATTTTACTGGTTCTATTTGGTTTCTGAGCCAAAATGATATGCTTCTGTCATTGCTTTCAAGTAATTCTAAGAACAGAAATAAACTAGGAACCTGGGCAACTTATACCACTATTCTCACCATCCAGCATTATCCATGGTATGTAACAGATGCTCAATAAATATTGACCAAATAAATGAAAGGAGAATTTTAAGTGAACTTTAGCAGGTGAGTGGAGTTTGAAAACCTGGAATAAGAGGGCCTAGGGAGCAGCAAGGTCCAAGGGTAGATCACAGGAAGAATAATTTTGAGGCTATGAGCAGAGTGAATGTTGGGAAGAGCAGTTTGACAGCTTTATCCAACCTGACCTTTTCCAATGTTCTTTAGATCAAGTGCTTTATATTCAGATTCTTAAATTCTCCTTCTAATTAAAAAGTCCTCATTACTCCTGTCTTACTAATTCTGAACACTGACCTCACTACCATCAGCACCCAAATGTGCATAGCCCATGATCTGTTAGCCTACTTCCATTCCCATTTGCCTCCCGTCCTAACCTGGATCACCACCTCAACGTGCGGTCAAGTTCCTGCTAACTACATCTGCTTTCCTCTACCACATGTTGCCAAAGTGCTGATAGTCAGCTGGTCTCCCATACAACAGCATGCCGTCTGATCTTCCCAGACGCTTCCTGTTATACAAGTATACTTATATTCGTCTGTAAATTAATTCCCAGCATCTTCCTCACAACTTTAATTCTTAAGCCCTTAAGTTACCCTTATTTTTCTAATTTTTATAATTATTTTCTGCCTTTCTTCACCCCCAACTTTTTTTTAAGCTCTCAGTTCCAAAATTTAAAATGCCAAACAGCATGGTTCAACAGAAAGACACAGGGTCTGGAATCAGACTGGGGTTCAAATCTCAACTCTGCCACTTAATAGTTATGTGAACTTTGGCAAGTAGCCTGTCCTCATCTGTGAAAACAAAGTTTTGGTTAATCCAAGACAATATAATGTACACTGCCTAGCCTGATGTCAGATACTAAATAAAAGCTAAATATTATTAACATTAATAATAGTTTTACTGGCAAGTTAGGAAATAAAAATGATGGAGGTAATATCTGGACCATTCCCAGGAGCACTGGCTTATTTTTTCCTAATTAAATCCCTTAATCAAGATTTGTAATGCTTACAGACATGTGTCATTCAGCAATCATACCTTAACTGGCAACAGCCAGAACCATTTGTGCTTTGAATTATTAATTTTTAGCAGCTGTATGACTCGCACAAATATTCTTGTCTCATGGTATGGCAGAACACAAGCAATGAGGCTATCTTGATTATAAAGATGTATATGGAACCTGGGGGAAAAAAGCAAATAGTTCAACTGGACCCAAAACTTAATAAAAGCACCTATTTCCTCATAATGCCCAAGCTGTGCATTAACGAGCTAAAACAACCTAAAATGAGTAGCAGTAAAAATCACATAATTATAAGCAAGATACAGAACATTTTAAAAGTCCTCGATTGTCCATTCATATATGCCTCAATATAGGCCTGCCAATTCCTATCCAATATCTTAAAATATTCAAAATCAAAATATACACCCCATTCACTTTCTCTCAGCTTTAAAATTTTTATTTTTTTGAAATAGGGTCTTGCTCTGCCACTCAGGCTGGACTGCAGTGGCACGATCATGGCTCACAGCAGCCTCGACCTCCCAGGCTCAATTGATCCTCCCACCTAGGCCTCCTGAGTATCTGGGACCACAGGTGAGCACCACTACAGCTAGCGAACTTTTTATTTCTATGTAGAGACTAGGTCTTCCTATGTTGACCAATCTGGTCTCTCAACCCTTTTTTTTTTTGAGACGGAGTCTCGCTCTGTTGCCCAGCCTAGAGTGCAGTGGCACAATCTCAGCTCACTGCAACCTCCACCTCCCAGGTTCAAGTGATTCTCCTGACCACAGGCACACACCACCATGCCCAGCTAATTTTTTTTTTTTTTTAATAGAGTTTTACCATGTTGGCCAGGTTAGCCTCGAACTCCTGAGCTTGGGCAATACACATGCTTAAGCCTCCCAAAGTGCTAGGATTACAAGCATGAGCCACTGCACCTGGCCAAGATGCTTTTTCTAATTCTCTCTGCCAACTGATCTCTCTTCTGTATAAACTCTATTCTTTTACATGGCATTTTTTTTCTTGAGATAGGAGTTTCACTCTTGTTGACCAGACTGGAGTCAACAGTGCAATCTCAGCTTACTGCTATATTTGCCTCCCGGATTCAAGCAATCCTCCTGTAGCTGGGATTGCAGGCATGTGCCACTACACCCAGCTAATTCTGTTTTTTTAGTAGAGATGGGGTTTCTCCATGTTTGTCAGGCTGGTCTCAAACTCCCGACGTCAGGTGATCCGCTCACCTCGGCCTCCCAAAGTGTTGGGATTACAGGTGTGAGCCACCATGCCTGGCATACGCGGACTTTTTTTTTTTTAAACAGTATCATACATTGCCTTTTATTAGTTTTTTTCTTTATTTTTTGTTTGAGATGGAGTCTACTCGGTCACCCAGACAGGAGTGCAGTGGTGTGATCTCAGCTCACTGCAACCATCATCTCCCAAGTTGAAATGATTCTCATGCCCCCACCTTCCGAGTAGCTGGAATTAAAGGTGTACACCACCAAGCCTGGCTAATTTTTTTTGGTATTCCTAGTAGAGACAGTTTCACCATGCTGGTCAGCCTGGTCTCAAACCCCCGATCTGAAGTGATCTGCCCACTTCAGCCTCCCAAAGTGTTGGGATTACAGGCGTGAGCCACTGACCCCAGCCAATTAGTTTCACAAACGATTTTAGTACTATCCAAGCTGTTACTTTTTCCATGAAGCTTCCTTCAACGATTCCAGGCAGAACTATATCCACAAAACTATGCTTAATTCTTTATTACAGCATTTACTTCAAAACAGTAATCAAGCAGAACCTACTTATCTGTGTACTGAACTTAGCATTTGTTGAATAAATAAGTAAGTCTTCTGAAGAAATAATGAAAAACCAAATTTAAAAAGTATTGCTTACAGGAAGATCTACTTGGGGGTAAAACTAGATGCTAGAAAACAGATGGCAATATTACAGACTTTTAAATATTCTTTTTTGTCTGACTGCCCTAAGGTTTTGAGAATCAGAAGACCCAAGTTAAAAATTGTTTTCTTGGTGACTCATTTACTTCTTAAAAAAAATTAGTTTATCTCCATGTCTCCATTTTTTGTTTTTTATTTGATACAGAGTATCCCTCTGTCACCCCAGTTGGAGTTCACTGGTGCAATCTCAGTTCACTGCAAAATCCGCTTCCCGGGTTCAAGGGATTATCCTGCCTCAGCCTCCCAAGTAGCTGGAATTATAGGTGCTCACCGCAGTGCCCTGCTAATTTTTGTATTTTTGGTAGAGAGAGGGTTTTACCATGTTGGCCACACTGGTCTTAAAGCCATGTCTCCAATTAATGGGATAAAAATCTACTTTTAAAACATGTAAGCTGGGCAAGGTGGCTCATGCCTGTAATCCCAGCACTTTGGGAGGCCGAGGCAGGTGGATCACAAGGTCAAGAGATCGAGACCATCCTGGTCAACATGGTGAAACCCCGTCTCTACTAAAAATACAAAAAATTAGCTGGGCATGGTGGCGTGTCCCTGTAGTCCCAGCTACTGAGGAGGCTGAGGCAGGAGAATTGCCTGGACCTAGGAGGCGGAGGTTGTGGTGAGCCGAGATCGCGCCATTGCACTCCAGCCTGGGTAACAAGAGCGATACTCCGCCTCAAAAAAAAAAGATCAGACCTTGGAAATAAATTTCAGTTGTATCCTAGCTTTGCCACTTACTAGCTGTGTAACTCAAGCAACTTAACCCCTCTAAGCCTCAGTTTTCTCAACTGTAAAACAGAGATAATACAAGTAATCTCACCAGATGAATGCTGCAAGGATTAAATGAGATAATGCAGGTAAAGTGCTAACCAGGGCCTGGGGTATAAATGCTCAATACACATTAGCTATCATTGTTTTTCTCAAGTAATGGTATTTCAGAAGATAATATTGCCTGCTTCCCCAACCATTTTGTTATTTTGGCAAGAAAGAAGCTTAATACCCATTGCCCCAAGTGTGCAGGAACAAGCTGTCACTTTGCCATTATAGCTTGTTCCTGCACACTTGGGGCAATGGGTATTAAGCTTCTTTCTTGCCAAACAACTAATGAGCTTAGGCCTGGCGCAGTAGCTCACGACTGTAATCCCAGCACTTTGAGAGGCTGAGGCAGGTGGATCACCTCAGGTGATCAGAGGTTCAAGACCAGCCTGGCTAACACAGTGAAACCCTGTCTCTACAAAAATACAAAACTTAGCCAGGCGCTATGGCAAGTGCCTGTAATCCCAGCCACTCAGGAGGCTGAGGCAGGAGAATTGCTTGAACCCGGGAGGCAGAGGCTGCAGTGAGCCGAGACTGCACCACTGCACTCCAGCCTGGGCAACAGAGCAAGACTCCATCTCAAAAGAAAAAAAAAAAACTAATGAGGTTAGACCATTTACTCAAAATCATCAGTAGTTCTACTTTTCATTATCAACAAACAAGAATTTAAAGACAGAAGAGCATGCTTATCTCACACAATGGAGATTGTCTTAATCTCTATTAAGAGATACCAATTATTCAGCTTTAAGTTGATAAGTGTTCTCTCAACTACTTAATTTTTTAAAAGACCAAAGTGATTAGCCCATAGTTATATCTGTAATTCTATTAACTACCTATGAATCAACCACTCCAGGCACTTCTGCGCTGGCTTAAGCAGAAAGTAAGGCGACAAGTGAATCAGGAATAATGAAATGCTTTCATCCAGCTGTTTGTTTACTGCTTTGGTCTGAACGCTTCGCTCCAAGGTTTTTGCTAGCTGACTGAACAACGGTGCTTCAAACTGCTCAAAGGAAGGATCAAGTCCAAGCAATTCTTCCAGGCCAGTGCATCCTAAATTTCAAAAAAGGCCAGTTTAGTTAATAAATCTTTGCAAGCAAACTCATTCCACCCCTCTTTTGCAGTTTTACTTCCCCCTAAAAAGCCTCTGAATTTTTTAAGTATGCATAATTTATAATACAGTCCCAAATACTGCTTTCTAGTTTTCAAACATATAATAAGTCCTGTCTCATCTACTAGCACAGAAAGTACTTCGTGGCAGGAAACATTGCTTTTTTTTTTTTTTTTTTTTTCAATATCCTCAACAGTAACTATGCCAGTCCTCCCATCACCCAAGTCACTGCCTCTATCCCCTTTTAATTTATTAGTTGACCTCTCTAACCTTGTTTCTTCTTCTGTGAGATCCACATACCACTACTCATGAGCATTTCAAGCACAGCTAAAAGATGGCTCACCAATGGCAAAGGCGGTGTCCCTGTCGATGGTGGCCGCTTCCTTAGGGCCAAACAACAAAGAGGCAACTTCATCTCTGGAGAAGAGGCTGGGATCACTTTGAGGGAGGGCAAGTCGTTGGAGCTGCTGGGCTAAGGACGTCATCTCTCACGCCAGCGGAGTGTTACTGACACGGGCTAAAAAAACATAAGCACTTCGAGAAGTCTGTACGAAACTGTAAGGCGCGTCACATACAAACAATTTTCCTCTGCACTCGGCGCCGTCATGGACACACAATGCGGTTGTCCTGAGATCTGTGGACCCCGGAGATGCAAACACGGCATCAGCGCTAAGAACTAATTACAGTACCGGCGACCGCGCCAAGGCTTTCCTTCAACCCTGATTCCGTAGATATCCGGAAAACTCTTACCCTCCCTCGCTCTGCTGCCCCCATCCGCAGCCACATCAAGCGGCTCTGTGCTCCTCCTTACCCGGAATTGGGAATTCGGGTATACCTTGGAATGCAACAACTCTTCACAGCAGCTCCCACATGGTACTAAGTCCAACCCTCTCCCGGAAACCTAAAACATGCTGTAGAGCCTCTTCCGGCCGCAGACAGTACGGCAAGGGAAGAGGTTCAAACTTGCCCGGAATTGGACAAGCCAGCTCCGCCTCCTGAGACAAAAGCCCGTCCCCTCAGCCCGCCCTCTCAGCCCGCCCCTCAGCCCGCCCCCCTCAGCCCGCCCCCTCAGCCCTCCCCCCTCAGCCCGCCCCCTCAGCCCGCCCCTCAGCCCGCCCCCTCAGCCCGCCCCTCAGCCGGTCCCTCAGCCCGCCCCCCTCAGCCCGCCCCCCTCAGCCCGCCCCCTCAGCCCGCCCCCTCAGCCGGTCCCTCAGCCGGTCCCTCAGCCCGCCCCTCAGCCCGCCCCCTCAGCCCGCCCCCTCAGCCCGCCCCCCTCAGCCCGCCCCCCCTCAGCCCGCCCCTCAGCCCGCCCCCTCAGCCCGCCCCCTCAGCCGGTCCCTCAGCCCGCCCCTCAGCCCGCCCCCTCAGCCCGCCCCTCAGCCCGCCCCCTCAGCCCGCCCCTCAGCCCGCCCTCTCAGCCCGCCCCTCAGCCCGCCCCTCAGCCCGCCCCTCAGCCCGCCCTCTCAGCCCGCCCCTCAGCCCGCCCCCCTCAGCCCGCCCCCCTCAGCCCGCCCCCCCTCAGCCCGCCCCTCAGCCCGCCCCTCAGCCCACTGATCCCCGGCTCAGGTCGAGTTTCTACTGCTCCGCAGCTCGTGTCCAGCCGTCTGCGCTGTGGCTTATGTCTGAGGCTTTCATTCTGGATGAGCCTTTTGTGGACTTTAAGAATCCATAGCCGAAATCATTCATTCGGTGTACACTTAACCAGTCTTTGCTAGATGCCAGCAGCATCGCCTAGTGCTGAAAGCTACGGGTTGTGAAGTCACGTCGTTTGGGTTCAAATCCTGGCGCTGGCGCCTGTCGGTCTATGTTTCGGTTTACAGGTTATGCCGCAGTAGTGCTAAATGGCGGGTTTTGAAAGACAGGTTCCCACATTTTTAAGCAAGTTTATTTTGTATGATTTGTGATACGCAGAGATCAGGATCTTACTCACATCTAAGGCTGACGTTGAAGACTTTCTCATGTTTACTACTAAATCCTAATTACCAAATAAAGTACCTGGGATGTGGATAACAATACACATTTATCGACTAACCAAATGAATGAATTAATGTAAATGTGCATAAGCTGTATCTGTATCTCCTTCCTGTTCAAGAAATGTGTATCAGAATGCAAGTGAATAAGTGTAGCATTATTATAGGAATAACTTAGAATTATTCTAACTGTAATAAAGGTAAAATGTTCAGAAACTTCAATGTTTTATTATTTATATTTACATCATACGTCAAAACTGATTGGATACTATCCACTTGAAAATATATCTGTTGCTTGGCTTGATGGCTCACACTTGTAAACCCAGCACGTTGAGAGGCCAAGACTGGCAGATCGCCTGAGCCTGGGAGTTCAAGACCAGTCTGAGCAACATGGGGAACCTCCACCTCTACAATGAGCACAAAAATTAGCCGGCCTTGGGGGCACGCATCTACCTGGGAGGCTGAAAAATGGGAGGATCAATTGAGCCCAGGAGGTAGAGGTTGCAGTAAGCTGAAATGGCACCACTGAACTCCAACCGGGGCAACACACGGAGACCCTGTCTCAAAAAATAAAAATAAAAAAAGAAAATATGTCTTATTAATGAGAAAATAAATAGGCTGTATGTAAGCAGCAATGTAAAGTCAACATATGAAATCTACATTTTGGCCAAGTGCTAAAAAAAATTTGACTAGTTAGATGATTGAGAAGTATGAATGTTTCTTCATATTGCATCCCAAACAAATTTATTTGCATTTTTATAAGCTTGAGCACTAGCGTTCTTGCTACCGAAAAAATTATAATTTCTTTTTTGGTTATTTTGAAATGTGCTGGGAGAGAGCTAGGAGTTTACAAAAAAAAAATTTGGAAATTAACCGGAGCAAGTTCCTGAAACATCTTTGGAAACCGGCAGGTGGCAGCAAAGTATTTTCCTGACCCCAGAGGGCATTCAGCTGTGTCTCCAGTTGCCTTACGGAAGTAGCAGTTTTCGCGTTTTTTAAAATGGAAAAATTATATACAATTATCTAAAAATTGGTTCACAAAAGCTTCCATATGTCATAAAATGCTGTAAAACTAATGCCTTCAGGCTGGGGGCAGTGGCTCACGCCTATAATCCCAGCACTTTGGGAGGCTGAGGCTGGTGGATCACCTGAAGTCAGGAGTCTGAAACGAGCCTGACCAGCATGGTGAAACCCTGCCTCTACTAAAAACACAAAGTCAGCCAGTCGTGGGAGAGCATGTCTGTAATTTCGGCTATATTTGGGAGGCCGAGGCAGGAGAATCGCTTGAACCTGGGAGGCAGAGGTTGTGCGAGCTGAGATGGCACCATTTCACTCCAGTCCGGGCAACAAGAGAGACCCTGTCTCAAAAACAAACAAACAAACAAACAAATAAAGCCTTCAACGTTTGTTTAGAGAGCTACAGGACTTAACAATGTTAGATATTCTTGGCTAATGAGAACCATTCAAAGTCATTTAATAAATATATTGAATTTAGATGTGGGTAGCCTGACTCCCTTTCTTCTCTCATTCACCCCACATTCTAAGTTAGCTTCCATTGACTATTTGCCACTGGGGACACTTTTTATTGAATAGAGCAATGGTGAAGTAGAGAACTGGGAAAGCTAGCAGGTGAAACCAGCGTATTTATCATATATATATGATTGCAGCATGTTTATCATATAAATATGATAGCAAAAATTATCCAGGAGAAGGTCAGGGAGGCACGCACCCAGATCGTGCTCGGAGTCAACAAGGGGGCTCACGCTCGCCTGCTCTCTCCCTGCCGGCCTCAGAGATAGCATCCCGCGCCGTGCAGAGGCAACTTGGCTGCGACCTGGACCCAGCTCGAGGAGAGAGAGAAGATGGCGCTGTAGGACCAACTCAGGATTGCAGCATCCAGTGAAACGGCACATGGTGAGTGGACGCTGCATTTCCAGATGGATCTTTATTGCCCACAGACCAGGAGATTCCTAGGTGTAGGAGCCGCACGGGCTGCCAGCATGGCTGTTTGGGCCGGTGCAGCTGTTTGGGCCAGGGCGCAGCGCAGCGGCACTCTGTACAAAATACACTGATTTGGTTGCCCTGTTAAACCAGCAATTGGAGATTTCGGAAGGCAGATTAGCACATTCATCTGATTAAGCGGGACTTAAACAGAAAGCCAGGCCAGGAGATTCCCGGGCAGCAACGTGGTTCCAGCCGGCACAGTGGGTCGCTGCATGGGAAATCACACAGATCCCAGTGCCCTTTCAGCAGGCGACTGGAACACCTGGGAGACAGTCAACCACTCAACTTAAAAAAAAAAAAAAAAAAAAAGGGCTCTGAGGCAGGGAGCCAGGTGATCAGGCTCGGCCGGTCCCACCCCCCACAAAAACAAACAAAACAGCAATTGGAAACGCTTGGGGTTGAGACTTTCACGGCAAGCACAGCTGAACCCAGGACAGTGCAGCTTGGAGGGGGAGGGGCGTCTGCCATTACCGAGGCACTCGACCCCTACGGAGGTACAATGCCATTGATGACACAGCCTGCCGTTGCCAAGGCAACCTGCCATTGCCGAGGCAACCTGCCATAACAGAGAGAGTCCGCCATTACAGAGGCGGGCCATTATCACCACGGCAGCTCTAACCACACCCATATAAACAGAACTACAGGGAATCACACATGGCAGCAGGGTGGAGCCCACAGCAGCTCAGCATAGCCACCACAGGCAAGCAGTGATTAGACTGCCTCCTTGCTGGGCAGGACAGTTCAACAGATACTCATAAATAAAGCCCTAACTCCCTGGGACAGAGCACCTGGGGGAAAAAAAGGGGCTTTATGAGTTCTGCTGCAGCAGACTTAAATGTACCTGCCTAGCAGCCCTGAATGAACAACGGAGCTCACAGCTCAGCACTTGAGCTCCTATAAAGTATAGACCATCTCCTCAAGTATAAAGTACAGACAGTCTCCTCAAGCAGCTCCCTGACCCCCGTATATCCAAAGAGTCACCTCACAAAGGACTGATCAGACTGACATTTGGCAGGCATCATTCAGGGACAAAGATAGCAGAAGAAGAAATGGGTAGCAACCCTCATGTTTCCGCAGCTGCTACAGGTGTACCCCAGGCAAGCAGGGCCTGGAGTGGACCTCAGTAGTCCTACAGCAGAGGGGCCAGACTGTTAGAAGGAAAACAAACAAAGAGAAACACTTCATCATCAACAATCTGGACATCCACTCAGAGACCCAATTGGAAAATCAGCAAGTGCTGAGATGACAGGTGGATAAATCCACAAAGATGGGAAGAAACCAGCGCAAAAAGGAGGAAAACACCCAAAACCAGAACACCTCGCCTCCTACAAGGGACCACAACTTTTCACCAGCAAGGGAGCAAAGCTGGACAGAGAATGAGTGTGATGAAATGACAGAATCAGACTTCAGAAGGTGGGTAATGAGAAACTTCCGTGAGCTAAAAGAACATGTTCTAACTCAATGCAAAGAAACTAAGAACCTTGAAAAAAGATTTGAGGAAATGACAACAAGAATGGACAACTTAGGGAGGAATATGAGTGAATTGAAGGAGCTGAAAAACACAACATGAGAACTTGGCAAAGCATGCACAAGTTTCAACAGCCGAATTGACCAAGCAGAAGAAAGGATATCAGAAGTTGAATATCAACTCAATGAAATAAAATGAGAAGTCAAGATTAGAGAAAAAAGCACAAAAAGGAATGAACAAAGTCTCCAAGAAATGTGGGACTATGTGAAGAGACTTAATCTACGTTTGATAGGTGTACCTGAATGTGATGAAGAGAATGAATCCAGGCTGGAAAATACTCTACAGGATATTATCCAGGAAAATTTCCCCAACCTGGCAAGGCAGGCCAATATTCAAGTCCAGAAAATACAGAGAACACCACAAAGATATTCCTCAAGAAGAGCAGCCCCAAGGCACATAATAGTCAGATTCACCAGGGTTGAAATGAAGGAGAAAATGCTGAGGGCAACCAGAGAGAAAGGTTGGGTCACCCA